TGTCATCATTGTTTCATCAACAGAATTCTGCCTAATAAAAAACAAAACCAACTTAACAAAACAACATCAACATCAACAACGTCTGCAACATCAACAACAACAATAATAGAAACAACATCATAAACAACATCATCAAGCCATCATCATCAACATCAACAACAACAACATCAACAAAAACATTAACAACAACAACAACATACTCAGCATGGAAGTGATAGATGTCTCTAATGTTGCCGAAGAACGTCTCCCTCTTTGCCATCATACCTTCTGGGATCAAATGCACCATCTCTTCATTATCAAACTGATCGTAGTAACCCTGGTTTTTTGAATATTAATGGTTCAATTAATATTCATGAGGTAATTAATATTCACGAGGTAATTAGCATAATACTAATTAGCGATACTGATACTTCGACATTAAAAATCTAATTAATATTCATGGATGGGTAATCAACATAATACTAATTAGCAATACCAATACTTCGACATTAACAATGAGATAATAAACATTCTTGGGGTAATTAACATAATATTAATTAGCAATATGGAAGCTTCGACAATGGGGTAATTAACATATTATTAATTATCGATACGGACATTAACAATCTAATTAAAATTCATAGGGTAGTAATGTAATCACCGCCTAAATATGATTATAATTGCAGCCCATTAAAAGTGGCAGTACAAACTTGTATGATATTCTTCAGATCTGAGACGTACGCTCTCTCCGTCTCTATTAACTCCTGTATCACGTGACTGCAGGGGTCGAAATCCGTCATCATTATCAACATCACTCTCATCATCATCATCATCACCATCATTATAATCCTCAACGTCATCGTCACCACTAGCATACATATCATCACCATCATCACCATCAACATTATCATCATCATCATTACCATCATCACCATCATCATCATCATCATCATTACCACCTTCTTTTCCTTCTAATGGTTCCGGTTTCAATGACGGGCTGGATGTTCATCAATTCATCCTTCAATCTTGACGGAATGTACTTCTCCTAATGTCATCATCATCATCAATATCATCAACAACGTCGTCGTCATCGTTTCTATCAACGACATGGCCAACACCATCCATTTCGGCGCCATCAAATAACCACCACCATCAAATAACCACCACCATCAAATAACCACCACCATCTAATAACCACCATCATCATAGCTATTAGCAACATCTTAGTCGTCATTACCTACCACAGAACCATCAACATTAACGCCATCACCGTCAAAATGACGTCATCATCGCTATAAAATCAACGTCATATTCAATAATAACAAAGACATGAGCATCATCAACAACAACAACAACAACAACAGAACCAACAAACAGGAACAACGTCATCGTCAATAACATCATCAACGTCGTCGTCAACAACAACAACAACATTATCAACAACAACCACAACAACAAAGTCGTCGTCAACAACAAACTACAACATCATCATCACCAACAACAACAAACAACAAATTCATCATCAACAACAAACAGCGACAAAGTCATCATCATCAACAAACAACAGCAACGTCATCATAACAACAACAGCAACGTCATCAACAACAAACAATAACAAAGTCATCACCAACAACAACAACAAAGTCATCAACAACAACAAACAACAACAACATCATCAACAACAAACAAACAACGAGTAGCAACATATAGGCATGTTAGTAATGCAGACATACACGCATAGCTAAAGAAAAAAAAACACGAACCAAACAAAAACCAAATTAGTGTTAGTGTCAAGTAACTTAAGAAATCTAATTAAATTTGTTAAAAAAAAAAAAAGTTAAACCAATTCTATGTTAAAACTAATTGAGATTAAAACTACTTCAAAACGCCATAGAAATAATAATTATAAATAATTATTATAATTATAATAATTATAAATTATTATAATTATACACATAGATAAAGGAGCAACAATAGACCGAACAGAACGTAAACAAAACCCAACTAAGAAGATAAACCATGCATGGCTTTGTGTGTGGTTATTATTTTCTAGTGGGTTAGGGTAAGGGTTAATAAGTCGGACCTTCTAGAATCAAATGTAATAATATTTATAATTACTAATAATAAGTAATAATAATTATCACAATCAGTAATGATAATTATTATAACTATAACAATTAGCAAGAAGAAATAATGAGACAGATATTTTTAACAAATAGGGATTTAGGAAATCAGGCAAGTCGCAAACTACAAACCATATCATGAACGGATGATCGTTTAATATCGATAAGATGGGGCAGCTGCTGTGATTGGCTGTCTGTGTCGTCGGAGATCTGTTTGCCCATGGGTCTGGCCTGTGATTGGACGATGGAAAACCGCTGCTGGTGCTGCTTGTGCTGGGAGGAGTTTAAGACCATGGAGGGTATGATTTTAGAGTCGACAACAATCTTTGCGTGGCCCAACTTTCGAGTCTTCGGCGAGTGTATGTCGTGGTGTTGGCTGTTGTTCGTCGTTGTTGTCGTCGTACTGCTACTGTTGATGTTGTTGTTGTTGGTGGTTGTTGTTGTTTTAAATGTCTTAATATCATCTTCGGGACATGGCGATTTGTCACCATCATTGTCGTTTGATTTTGTGCTGTTGTTGTTGTTTGGGTGGTTCATGTTGTTGTTGATGCTATTCTCAATTAACATTTTTTTCACTTCCTCTTGTCTTTTTCTTTCCTCCTCTTCCTGTTTCTTTCTCTCTTCCTGTTTCTTCCTCTCTTCCTCTTCTTCCATCTCTCTCTTCTTTATCATTTCATTCATTTTCAACTTCAGTTCTTCAGTCAATCCATCAACTGAAGATTTCCATTTTGCTACATCTTCCTTCATTGCATTCATCGTCTTCTGCATAACATTTTTGAATAAAAATAAAATACCATCGTATAAACTTTATAAACATTGAATAATTCAAATTTAAAACCGACCAATAAGATGTCATCTCGATCACTGGACTGATATAATTGGTCAAATTTGTCCATCATCAGATCAATCTCAACCAATGAGGAGTTGGAGAAGTTTTTCAAAGTATTGACGACCATTGCAATGTCTTCAATTGATTTATCATCCTCGTCCAATAGGATTGATTTATACTTCATTAACTCTGTCCCTTCCTTACCTAATTCAACTGCCTATTATTTTTTGTATCATCATCAACATCATAAACAACAACTACAACAACTACAGCAATAATTACTACTACAACAACTACAGCATCAACTACTACTACAGCAACTACAACAACTACTACAACAACAATCACAGCACCAACTACTACTACAACAATAACAACAACAACATTAATAATGTTAAAATAAATATATGCATCTAACAAAATTGCTTGTGATGTATAATAAACATTGAGTGTGCGTATGTATGTACATGTGTTAGCAAGCCAAAAAGCTGTATAATCAACAATAATACCATCACTGATAACCACCACACTCTTGTATATAATATGTACAATGAATATGCACAATCAAAATAGGTTTGATTCATTGGCAAGCTTATTTATGTAGAAGCTCTTAAGCGCTATCATAACCATCCTAAATTATATAAATTTAAATAATTTTTGCCATTGTTTTTGTCATCATAACCATTACATTAAGTATTTAATATTGATGCTATTATTGTTGTTGATGATGTTGTTGATGTAAATGTTGTTGATGTTGTCGTTGTTGATGTTAATCTTGATGTTGTTGTTGATGTTAATGATAATGTTGTTGTTGTAAATGTTGACGTTGTTGTCGTTGTTAGTTAACGAAAATAGAAACCAAAGAACGGAAATTTGAAAATGGAAATAATTGTTTTTGAACATTCGAAACAAAGAAAATGAAAATAAAAAATTGCAAACTTGAATAACGAATTTATCATTGAAAGTTTAAAACAAAAAAGTAATATGAAACTGAAATACCAGTCAGTCAGACAATAACACACAAACAAACACACATGCAAACTCAAACGCAACTAACCAAACAACAAACAACACATACAAACATAGACTATAACCAGACGAAACAGATCCAAACAAAATAACAACCTAGACGACGAAACACTCCCAACAACGACTACAACAACAGTAGCAAAAAAGAACACAGCAAGCCAACCAAACAACAAGGCAGCAACATACACACACACACACACAAACACCACACACACACCTTATTAAGAGTTGACAAGAAATGTTGGTTTTGGATAAGGATTTGAATTTTATTCTTTAGCTGCTGCTGTAAGATCTGATATTTACTACAGTAAAACTGCTGGTCCCTCTTACAGCAAGCAACTACATCCTGCATGATGGCACTATGTTCCTCTGTGAGTGTGCCCTGGCATTCGAATAGCTTTATATCTTTCGAGATGTCTTCGAACCTTAGCAAAGATATCTATTTCGTGTTGGAGGAATGAAGTGGAGTGAAGGATTGAATGGAAGATGGATGGATTAATGGATGGATGGATAGTTAAACAGATGGACAAACGAACGAACGCCGACCTTAGTATCTTCCTCCGTACTCTTCATCTTACTCAACATCATGTGCAACTTCATAAGAACTTTTGGGCTGTCGATGTTACCGGAGTTAATGAGTTGATGGACATTCATAAGCTCCTCCCCTTCCTCCGTCCAAATTGTCTCCATCTCGTTGTTTAACTTGCTAATTGATTTGCCTACCTGCAATGTATATAACTTTCGTTCATTCAATCCATTCATTCATTCGTTCATTCATCATTCAATTATTCATTCATTAACTAATTCATTCAACTAATTCATTCATTCATTCATACATCCATTTACTTCATCAATTCATCCATTCAATTCATTCACTCATTCATGAAAGTTATACACATTAATGATCACGGCGTGATCCAATTCCCTCACGTACATTAATATTCACGACGTGACCTATTTTTCTTACTGCGGTATCCCATTAATTAATATTCAAGAAACGACCTACTTACATCTATTAACTGCTTGTAAAGGGACTTGATATTTTTCAAGTTGTCCTGGTATGACTTGTTCTCGGCAAGGATATCATCTATCTCGATCTTCGTGCTGTACAGCGATTTCTGCATGCTTTTTGTATGAAATAAATTAACAATATTAAAACAATTTAATAAATAAATAAATAAATAATAGGTAAAATTAAATATTTAACCGATTAAATTAAAATAAATAAATTAATCAATAAATCGAAACCAAAAAATAGGAAAAACCTGGCGACAATTTTCATGTGACCAGATTTATATGGGGCACTGTTCTGATTTAAATAGGTCAAGTCAGCAATGGAGTTGGAGATGCAAACTGCACACTCGTCGCACAATGTTTTCAACGTTTCCAGCTTCACTTCCGCCTCGACTATCAGCTTGTTCAAAGTGCTCACGGTGGTTAGGAGCGATGTTGATGTTGGTGATGACGGTGAGTGAGATGATGAGGAGTGAGATGGTGATGAGGATAGAGAGGAATTGAAGGGGTTGCTCCTTCTTTGACTTTTAAACTTTGTTAATTTGTTTTCTAATGACCTTTTGAATTCAACCAGAGTCTCCACCATCTAAAGGTTAAAAATAATAATAATAAATGCCTCATTAACATCTATCATAAAAACTACTAATATCATTGTTATCACAACCACATTCAACATCATCATCATCATCATCATCAACATCATCATCATCACCTTTTTATCATTGACCCATTCGTCAGGGTCAAACTCGAGTGACCCGGCAAAATCGGATGTCAGCTGTGACGGATTGATTTGTTTGTGCAACTCATCTAGAGACACAAATATTACCTGCTGCTGATTGGTCAATGTAATATATAATTTATAATGATGCTGATTGGGCTGTTGATTTATTATCATGAATATTAATTAAGATAATAAGCACAATATATGACCAATACTGCCTGTTAATGAATGGTCAATATGCCCTCATGAATATTAATTAACGTGATGAATGCAGAAATTCAAACAGAAATCAGGACAATAAAGCAACAACAACAATGACGTCACAACAAAGAAGTAACAGCGACATGGTAGCAATAACTTTATTGTGATCTTTGCTGTCATCGACACTGAAGAGAAATAACTTGCTGAGAGAATTGAATAGGCCGGAGGGTTGTAGCAAGTAGACTCTTTCCACCGATTCATATTCCATCGTACATTCCTGCGTTAATCATCATCATCACTGTCATCATCTTCGTCATCTTCGATCATCAAACGCCATCATTCTCACTAACATCACCAACATCATATAATCGTCGTCCTCATCGTAATACCATCAGTACCAACATTTCCTAATTATTACTATTATTATCATTGTTATTATCATTGTTATTATTATTATTAATATTATTATAATTACCTGGAGGGTGCTGAATAGAGACTTGATGTTGGCCCACTTATTGAGGCGCCTGTCGATCACCAAGCTGAATTTTGCGTCCGGGTTCTCAGTTCTAGAGAAAAGAAAATAAATAGATAGAAATAATAATAGAAATAATAATTAATACTACAATAAACCAAAAAATCAAATAAACCAAAAAAACCAAATGAACCAAAAAAAAACAAAAAACTAAATAAACCAAATAAACCAAAAAAACAAAATAAACCAAAAAATCAAATGACTTTGCAGCTTTACAGAGATACTTAAACAAAGTAGCATAATCTTTATCTTCAACTATCGAAGAGGAATTTGCAGACGTGCAGACCTCGGGGAAAGATATTATATAACTTCCTGATGTCGTTCGTCCACCTTAGGAATAATATTTATAATCTTATATAATATTTTAACCATATTTTATGATAATATTTGGAAAAATTTAAATTTTTTCAAAAATTACAGCAACCAACCTGATAAGTAAGCACACTTCTTCCGGACTAGATCAGATATTTCAGAGTCCGGTGAAATATTATCCATTTTTTGTTAGAATTTTTCTTTTCTAGAGAAAAAAAAAGAATATATTTTGATTTTATTAATTTTTACTAATTTTTTACTATAATTTTTACTTTTTAGTTAATGAAAAATAGAGTACATAACAATAGGATTAGCAATTTTTTAAATTAAATTGATTTTTAATTTAATAATATTAATAGAGAATTTTTATAAATAGGTAAAAAATGATAGATATAATACACAGATTTTTTTTAGACTTTGAACGGTATAATTTTTGAGTTTTTAAATTTTAATAATTAATAACTTAACAAAAATTAAATTTAAGTAAAAAATTAACATTAATAAAACAAAACTGAATAGAAATTTTTAAAAAACTTGACACAATTCATTACTGACACAATTTTATTTTAATTGACCTTATTAACAATAATTTAATAAAAATAATAATAAAAACACGAATAATTAATTAATTATTATAAAATAAATGAAAATGAAACCGCTTCTTACAGTGAAAGTGAAAGTTTTCTGTTGTTTTGTGTGCTTTGAGGGCAATTTAATAAAAATCTTTAAAAGGAAAAATTCAAAAATAGGTAAAATTTAAAAATCCACTAAAATGTCTGTTTATATTAAAAATCCATACGCCAATAAAATTAGAAATTAGTAAAAAAATAGGTTCTTCCTATTTAAAATTAGCGAAAGTTAAACTTGAGAATTTAATTTTGACGATGTTTTGCTTAGATGCATACACGTGACTTACATCCGTAATGTGTTTAAAAGTAAATTTTAATAATAACTATTAAGTTTCATTTTAAATAAAAACATTTTAAGATTTTATGTACCAGTAAAGAATAAAAGTGCCCCAAAAGTACGAAACTAAACATTTTAATTAAACTTTATTATTTAATAAATGATTTAAGTTATCCATATTTATTAAATTGAAATTGAAATTTTTTATTCAAAAATCCTGAAATCTGGTTTTATCTTGTGCTGTCCACTTGGTAATTTTGTATTATAAGGTGGCTTTTATATCAGTAAATATGGTTTTATTTAAATTAGTCTATATGATCAAACATATGTTTCATATAGCATAAAAATAAGTAGTTGTATGTACGTATTAGTTTATGTATATGTATATATATATAAATTATAAGTAAGCAACTTTATTATTCTTATTATTTTATTATTATTGATATGATTATTTTATTTATATGGTTTGTTATGATCATTATTGTTTTTGTTCATTATCATTATATTGGTTTATACACTATATATATATATATATATATATATATATATATATACATATATAATTTTATAACTAATGTATGATGATGATGGTAATAATAATAATAAATTACAGAAGGAAGAAATATGAAATGCTCATGCCTGACAGTTTGTAATTACAAATTGAGGAGAAAATTGAAAAAGGTACATATAACAAATAGTAATAAATAGTAATAATAACAATCATAATATATTATTATTCCTTTTTTTTAGTTTTTCATTGATTATTTGATAAAAAGTTTTTTTGATTTGAATTTAACTTTAAAATAGGCAATTAACAGAGCCATGAGTCTCTTGGACGATAACAACTGTCATAGCACTCTACTACATGTCTTATCATCCCCAAATAACAAGAATAATATTAATAATAATTCAAAATGTAGGGATGGGCAAAGATGTTTTTTGAAGAAATTGAACTACCAAAATGATATTGTTTGCCCTTCTGATGACAATTTTTCATGCTTTGCTAAGGTTAGCCAATTTTTTTATTTCAAATTCTACTTACTAGTAGTATGTATAAAAATTTAGTAATAATGTAACGATACTACTAACCACTACTACTGACGATGCTACTACTACTGCTGCTGCTGCTGCTGCTGCTACTGCTACTACTACTATGATATTGCTATAGTGTATACTGTATAGCTCTTAATGATACTACAAATCTTATTAGTACTTCTACTAGTCTAGCTAACTACTACTTCTTTTTAATACTTAGTAACTCTAGTGTTTCATTATTAACAATTACTCTGTTTGCCACTCTTAGGGTTTTTTTTTTGAGTAGTTTAAATGTTGCTCTACCACTAGTGCCCAGCCATTTTTAGCACAGAACTATCATTGCTAACTAATTTAAAGTGTGAAATTAGTAATTTTAGGCATGTGTTAACGCTACTCCAGGGCAGAGAATACGGAAGTTCGTCTATCACGCACCAGTATACCGAGCAAGAACGTGAGATGTTGGCTGATTATGAAAGTCTTGAGTATCTACCATACCATAGCTACGTTTATAGAGAGTGGACCAGAAACCACCCAGCACAGTAGTATCAATTTGTATCAATCTATAATACCCGCAAAGTTTATCATATAATTGTTTATAACATAATCTAATTGATATATATCCTAAATGTTTGTAATATAATTTCTGATACAATGATACATTGATAGAATGCTCTTAATTGTTTCTGTAGTTAAATGCGACAGGATAAGTTTTTTTAAGTTACTCCAACTGCAGCGCATTACAACACCTTATTGCATCTCACTCTAAATCTCATTACATCAAATTTCTTACCTATATTATACTGACCTATATACTGACCCCTTATGCTGACCTCTAATACTGACCTATATATTATATGTCTATGTAGCCATGACCTCTTACAGTGGGTGATGATGGCGTTAATTGGGGTCACGGTGGGCCTCATTGGCTTCCTCCTCCATCAACTCATTGACTTGATTTCGAGCATCAAATGGAAACAGGCTACCTTATATCTTAATGTGAGTGCGGGCATGTTAATTTATGTTAATTAGCTAGTTAATTTGCATAATAGTTTGTTAATATATATAGTTTGGTTGTGATTTAATAAAAATTAAACACTGAATTTGAAATATACACATAATACTTGTATGTTGGGGCAGGAAAATAACATGGGGATGTTGACTCTCTGGACTGTTGGCCTGAGTGTCGTGCTGGCTTTCTTTAGTTCATTATTAGTTGTGGTTGGTTGGTTGTGATTGGCTGGTTTTGATTGATTTATTGTGATTGGTTGTTTGGGATTGGTTGTTTTTGATTGGTTGTTTGTGATTGGCTGGTTAGTTGTGATTGTTCGGTTTTGATTGGTTGTTCGTGATTATCTGATTTTATGTGATTGAAATATTTTATGTAGAGCCATCAGAACTTACAACTTTTTTTCATTGAAGATTTTTCGACCGCAAGCATCCTCATCCGGCATTCCCGAGTTGATGGGATTCCTGAATGGGACTGTGGTGAGACACATCTTCAACGTAAAAACCCTCATCATCAAGTTCCTTTCTTGCGTCCTGGCTGTCTCGTCGGGAATGCCTGTTGGTCCGGAAGGCCCTATGATCCACATGGGGTGGGTCCACTTTCACTTTCATTTTTGATTTTCGTATTTTAGTTTTATGAAGACTTGACGATTATGTTGTTTTACGTTTTGTTTAATTTCATGAATATGTAATTCAAAACTTTACCCTCCTTTCTGATTGGCCAGGAGCTTAGTTGGGGCGGGACTGAGCCAGTTCAAATCGGACACAATGAAGTTCAAGCTGCCTTGTTTTGAGAGGTTCAGAAATTTTGAAGACAGGTCGGTTGTGGTTTGTTTCCATTTAAATTATCAGTGGTACCGTCATTCTCGTTATCATCAACTCTCTCATCATCATCATATACATCACCATCAACATTTCCATTGACACCATCATTATACCACTACCATATCAGGAGAAACTTCATAAGCGCGGGTGCAGCGGCGGGCGTAGCTTCAGCATTTGGAGCACCAGTAGGCGGAGTTTTGTTCAGTATGGAGGAGGTGTCCTCATTTTGGGACATGAAGCTCTCCTGGCAGATTTTCTTCTGCGCCATGGTGGCAACGACAACGACTGATCTTTTTAATTCTGCCTTCAAGGGCTTCAAGTACGAAGGGTCGTTTGGCAGGTTCAAAACAGAGGAGTACATATTATTTCAAGTAAGTTGGGGCGGGTAGGGGGCGTGTGCAAAAACAACAACATGTGCAAGAACGACAACTACAAACAAACTAACAAATATACATACAATCAAACAACAACACATGCAGGTACAAAACGGCCTTTCAATAAACATCCTAACATTCATCCCGGCGATGATCCTCGGAGTGGTGGGGGGTCTCCTCGGGGCTCTTTTTACTTTCCTCAACTTGAAGGTAGTGAGGATGAGGAGGAAAGTTCTGGCATACGTGCGCCGGAAGTGGATGAGAGATGTGTGTAGATTGGCTGAACCCATTGTTATCGTGGTTGGTCGGTCGGTTGGTCGGTTGGTTGGCAGGCTGGCTGGCCCGGCCGGCGGCCGGTCGGTCGGTCGGTCGGTCGGTTGGTTGGTTATTTTGTGACTTTGTCAGTTATGATAATGAGAGTAAAAAAAATTTTAATAGTAATGATAAATATAATATAACATAAAATAATATAATTAAAATAGTGAATAATGCAAACAATAATAAACAGAGCATATCAGCTGTTGTTTCCATTTTTCTTCCATCCATCTATCCGTGCTCTCCGTTCAAATGCATGCATTATAACAGTACATCTGTCAGGTGAGTCTCGGCCACACACACACACGCAGACACACACGCAGACACACACAAACAAACACATACAAACACACACACACACACGCAGACAAACACACACACACGCAGACACACACATACACACACACTCACGTACACACATACATACAGTGAAAATTGTATGGGAGATGAGAAGAACATGTTACATACGGACCAATCGGTCGAGAGGTACCTGTGTCCTCAGGGAATTATACTGCCTCAACAGCAACAATCGTGGCAACAGTCGCGGCAACAGTCGCAGCAACAGTCGCAGCAACAACAACAACAACAAACTATATCCTTGTTGGCGAAAGTTAACGATGATGACGTAGATGATGACGTCATTATCGGGTGGACCAATAAAACTTACAACCAATGTAACGAATGAAAATTTTTATTTTTTTTATTCATTTATTTATCAATCAGTCAGCCAGCCAATCAATCAATCATTCATTCATATTATTAACCAACCAATCAATCGGTCAACCAACCAATCAATCATTCAACCAATCATTTATTCAACTAACCAACCAATCAGTCAACCATCCAATCCATCAATCAGCCAACCAATCATTCATTCTACTAACCAACCAACCAATCAAACGACTCAACCGAACAACAACTGAACAAACAGTAGCGACATTATTGTTCGGATCTACGGAGAAATCCATCCACCATTTATTTTCCCGCAACACGCACCTTCAACTCCAGTGCACCCCCCTCATCATCACCTTCGTCTTCTACTTTATCATAGCCGTCTGGGCCGCGGGCTCCTTCGTCTCAAGTGGAATTCTCGTGCCTATGCTGTTAGTTGATTGGTGGGAGATTGGCTGGCTGGTTGTTGGTTGGTCGGTCGGTTGGCTGGCTGGTTGTTGATTGGTTGGTCGGTTGGCTGGCTGGGTGTTGATTGGCTGGTCGGTTGGTAGTAGATTGGTTAATTGATTTATTGGTTGATTGGTTGAATTTATTGTAATTACAAACATTAGTTTCATTGGCGGACTCTATGGACGAATCATGGGCGTCGTAATGGTCTCTATTTTTGGAGTGCACGCAACGAAAGATTCCTATTGGTCGTGGATTGATCCAGGTGCGTTCGCCTTGGTAGGGGCTGCAAGTTTTTTTGGTGGGGTCTCCAGGCTCACCATGTCGTTGGCTGTCATCATGGTTCGTTACTTTAGCACAATTTAAGTTATAAAACATTATACCAACCAACTACCAAACCAGCCAATCGAATGTTTTGTAGGTGGAGCTAACGAATGACGTGCAGTTCCTCCTGCCAATCATGTCATCAATCATGGTGTCCAAATGGGTCGGCGATCTTTTTACACATCCTTATTATTTGAGTCTGCTTGAGCACAAGTGCATTCCTTATCTGCATGCTGATCCTGTTGTCAATGTCGATGGTCGAAGGTCTGTCTGTCTATCTGTCTGTCTGTCTGCCTGCCTGTTTGTTTGTCTGTCTGTCTGTATCTCTGTCTGTCTGTCTGTCTGTCTTTCACACACAAACACACTCACACACACACAAACACAAACAAAATTAAATCACGCATACGTGTGTGTATTTTATGCATACAATACAATTACACGTCATCTTCCTCTCGTACATTGCCAGGTTAAATTTGGAGCAGTTCAAGGCCAGTGACGTCATGGCTCACCCCGTCGTCATGCTGACCTGTAAGGAACGGGTCAGCCGACTGGCCAGTGTCTTACTACAATGTAACCATGGAGGATTTCCGGTTAATATGGCGGCCAGAGATGGCAGAGGTGATGGAGGTGGGGAGGTATTTTTCGGTCTCATCAGCAGGTTGCAGTTGATCATCCTCCTGAAGAATGAGAAGGTTTTTCAGAGATGTGACTTGGAAAATGTGGCTGACCATCGTCGTCGTCGTCATCGTTGTCATCATCACGTCGTTGATGATGACGATACGTCAGAAGGTCCTAGAAAGGTCCCTCTGCTGAGCTATCTCGAGGTTGTTAGTTGCTCCGTCGCCCGTGTGCCTACCTGTTATATTTCATGCATGTTATTGTGATTTTTTTACATTTCATCTTATTTATATTTATTTTACGAATGTTTTACAAAAATCTTTATAAAATGATATACTGGTATTAATAATATTAATATTATTATATTAATTATATACTATATTAATTGCGTATTAATGATAGTGCTTGCTGTTGAATTATTTGTAGTGGAGAAAGCATGGTCGTTATGTTATACAGAGGGTTCATTAACATTAATTAAATAAATTAATTAATAACATTCAATTAATAACGACAGACATACTGAGTAATTAATAGATAGAAAAACAAAGAAACTAATAGATAAATGGACAGACAAACAGACAGGCACAGAGTCCAATAGATAGACAGACAGACCAAGAGTCTAATAGATAGACAGACAAACAGACAGACAAAGAGTCTAATAGATAGACAGACAAACAGACAGACAAAGAGTCTAATAGATAGACAGACAAACAGACAGACAAAGAGTCTAATAGATAGACAGACAAACAGACAGACCAAGAGTCTAATAGATAGACAGACAAACAGACAGACAAAGAGTCTAATAGATAGACAGACAAGCAGATAAACAATCAGACAAAACTGGATGTATAATTTTTACGTGCAAACCAGTTGACAGTTGACAAGGTGGAGAATGTTGATGAAGTCGACGAGATGCTGCAAATGTACGCTAATGACGGCTCATACGATCATCTCTATATTAATCTTGTTAGAGTTTGTCTGTCTGTTTGTTTGTTTGTTTGCCTTTTTGTTTGTTTGTTTGTTTGTTTGTTCATTCACTTTATCAAATGTAAATTTTCTTTTCAATCCATTAACAACCAACCAACAGCAATCATAACAATAGCAATAATAATAATAAATCCAACCAATGAAAAACCAGGCTCCGTACGTGAACCAATCAGCGGTGAGCATCCCTCGGAACTTTTCCCTGCACAGAGCGTACATCATCTTCCGGGCTCTGGGCTTGCGTCACATGGTCGTCCACAACGGGGCCAACATGGTGGTCGGTATCATTACTAGGAAGGATCTCATGGGTCACAATGTGGAAGAGAAATTGAAAGAGATCGTGATGATGAGGAAGAGGAAGAGAGGCGGTCATGATGATGATGACGATGGTGGTGGTGGTGGTCGTGATGATGATGATGACGTTGGTGGTGGTTGTGGTGGTCATGATGATGATCACGACGGTGATGATGAATTGAGAAGTGAGAGATACGTTTTTAGTAAACTGAACCGTAAAAATCATGATGATGATGATTATGCTGGTGATGATAGTAGTAGTAGTAGGAATGACAGATTGAATGGTAGAGGGAATGTTGTTCCGAAGGATGGGTTGAAAGTAGCCGGAAGAATTAAAAGACCGTTGATGACGTCATCGTCAACGTTACAATCATTAGCAGCGACATCTTCAGATGAAATGCTCATACTAACTATAAAATGATGATATAGTGATTATGATGAGTGAAGGATCATGATAATGATCAATGAATGAATGAGTGAGTGTGTGGGTGAGTGAGTGAGGGAGTGAGTGAGTGGGTGAGCAAGCGAGTGAGTGAGTGAGTGAATGAATAGACGTTAGATCAATAAACATTTCACCCTCAACACGTTCGTTTTTTCATTTATATAGCGCTTTTTCAACTCGGGTCTGCGTTTTGTGATGACTTATAAAAAAAATTGCCTTTTTCTTATAAAATTGTTCGTTATGTAACAAACTCGTTAAAACAAATTAATAGGTGAATAGGTGAATGGATGGATGGATGGATGGATGGATGAATGAATGTATGGAAGAACATAATTTTGCACTTATATCGTATTACAAGTTACTATCTTTCTCTCTATTTTTCTTCTTTTATTTCCCCTCTCTTTCTCTTATTTTTTTTACTACTCATCATTTCGTATGGATATCGTGTGTCCTTTTTTCTCTCTCTCTCTCTCTCTCTCTCTCTCTCTCTCTCTCTGCTGTAGTATGTTTGTGCGATGTTTATTTGTAGTATGTCCTTGTCTATTTACTTACCAACGTGTGTAATATCATCACACATTCAAACAGACATAGAACGAAAGAGAGAGAGAGAGAATTAAGAATGTTAGTACAACACTCTAATACATACACAAACAAACACACACACACTCAGAAAGAGAAGAAGAAGAGAGAGAACTGTAAATTTGTATAACAGTTGAAAACAGAAGTCACAATAACAATAATAAGAATAATAATAATACCAATAATAACAACAACAATAATAATCAGTGAACAATGAAAATAATATTTCTTGGAAAGTTGGAAAGAGCTTCTCCTCGCAATCACTCGTTAACCATCCTCCATCCATCAAGCCTTCACATAACCGAGAGGATAAGTTGGATGAAGTTACTATTATTGTTTATATGTATATATAGAGAGAGAAAGAGAGCGAGATGTATATTCATAATAATTTAACTCGCAAATAATTATATACATCTGTATACATAAATACATGTTGTGTATATGTATATAAATACATTCGCATAAATATGTATGTATGTATATATATATATATAAGTGCATGTATGTTTATTTATTTTTCTTTACAAATTATAAATATATACATAGCGAATCATGATGTTATATGGAAAGAAAAGCTATCAAACTCTAAAATTCTTATCTTACTTAATCTTATATTGAAGATTAACAGAAGAATGAGTGTATGTGTGTATGTATGTATGTATGTGTGTTGCTTTCGGTATGTTAGTTTTAATGAATGTATGTTTGAATTGTATGTATAAGTATTGGTGAATTATGTGCATTGTATATATATATATATATATATGTGTGTGTGTGTGTGTGTGTGTTATTGTATTTGTGTGCGTTTTTGTGTATGTGTACGTGTGTGTTTGTGTACAACTGATGTACACAAAGCTGGAGCAAATCTAACTGCTGCATCAATGTATGGTCTCTGCTTGTAAGCACTGTATATATATATATATATATATATATATATATATATATATATATATATATATATATATATATATATACATAATATATATATCATTGTTATTGTTATTATTATCGTCATAATTATTGTTATAATTATTATTATGTTTATTATTGTTTTCGTTATAATTATTGTTGTTATGACCATTAGAAGTTTATTTATGATAGGTTTCTTTTCATTGGTCTGAATCGCGCTCTTATGCCATACGTACATATATCATTAATGCTCATTTCTATTGTTGAGCAACTTCATACATACATGCTACATACATACATACATACATTCATACATACATACATACATACATACATTCATACATACATACATACATACATACATACATACATACATACATTCATACATACATACATACATTCATACATACATACATACATACATACATACATTCATACATACAAACATACATACATACATATATATATACAAACAAACATACATACATACGCGGAAAAAAATCATTAGGCATTGTTTTAATAGGCTAACACATGTAAGCTTTGTATGCTGATGCAAATTAAATAGTCATTTTTATGTTTTTAGGAAAAAAAATTTTTTCATTGGCGTGACGAGTGGAATGTCCACACACCACACGCACATACACACACACGCACGCAAACTCACACACACACATATCAATCCATACATATTTTATCCAACATACATACACGCACACATACATACATATGAGTGATCATCAATGAATTTGAGTTGAAACCTTGAAACACGTGAAAAAATTGTAAATATACCGCGGGCAGATTCAAGTATGTAGATTTATATCAACAAAAAAACATTTTTAATAAACTTATAACTAGATATATATAAAATATATATATATATTATATATAAAATATGTAACATATGCGTTTATATATTTATATATATATATATAATATTTATATATAAATATAGCATACAGGTTTTATTTCATCCAGCCTTCCATCCACTCTTTCATCTAGAAATCCTTCGATTCATCCATCCATATATTCGTTCATTCATTCAGTTGTACATTCATTCATTCTTTTATCCATTTTGTTGTCATCCTTCTATCCAATCGTCCGTCTGTATAAAAGTGCGTTAGTCAGTTGGTTATTTTTTTTTTCGTCTCATTATTCCATCCATTTTTTCATCCATTTATTAATTTGTATATTCGTCAATCTATCTGTTCATTTATTCATTCATCCATCCATTCATTCATTTTTTTACTCTTCCATCCATCCATTCATCTATCCATCCATCCATCCATTCATCCAATCATTCATCCATATATATAATACCTAAAGTCAACTGGTTAATCTTTTCAATGCGGATTCACTGCGGTACGTATCACACGCGGGGCACAATTGTTTATCGTTTATTATTAAAAAGATTTGGTGAATAATAATAACAATAATTATAATAAATAATAAATAATAATTATTATAATTTTATCAGTAATTGATGATATTATCATAATATAATATAATATAAGTAACATAATATAATATAACATAACGTAATATAATATAATATTACATATTATAATATAACATAGCATAATATAATATAAAATAATATAATATAACATAATATAAAATAACATAATATATTATAGTATTAATATTAACTTTTGAGAAAATTTCTCGCGACACGTGAGAGTTCAGTGTGGTTTCTTCTTCAACTGAGGACTTTTAACTTAAATAAGAGAAGAGATTCACTTTAATTGGGGAATAATTAAAATAAAATAAATAATAACTTTACTTGAGTTGATTGCTACTTTACTTCACTGTCTTGTGGTCGTACTACTACTACTACTACTACTACTACTACCACTACTACTGCTGCTGCTACTACTACTACTACTAATATTACTACTACTATTACTACTATAATTACTACAACTACTACTGCTGCTACTACTGCTGCTGCTGCTATTACTACTACTTCTACTGCTGCTACTACTAATACTACTACTGCTACTACTACCAATAATAATAACAGTAATTATTATTGTTTACAATAATACAAATTATATGAAGAATAATAGTAATAATAATAAATAATACAATAAAAAAAAGTTGGGAAATTGGTGAAAGAAAAAACAAAATGGCGGACGAGACCCTGGCCATGGTGCCCCCACTGCCACCGAGGTACCGGTTCAAGGACGTCATACTCGGAGATCACGTAGACAATGATAGGTCGGTTGTAATTATTTATCTATTATTTATAATTTCTGTTTGTTCTTTGTTTGTAGTGTTTGTTTATTTTCTTTGTTTATTTTCTTTGTTGTGTTCGCTTTATAGTTTGTTCACTCATTGGGCTAATTATATTCTAATTTATTTTTTATAGTATCAAGTATCCACATTATGGAAATAAAATTGTTATTATTATTGTTATTATTATTGTTGTTGTTGTTTGTACACGTGACCAATGACGTTTTAATCTAGAGAGCACGTGAGCATATTAGCATGGCTAATGGCGTGTAGGTAGGTAGGCAGGCACATGGAACTATTTAGTGATGACGACCTGTAGGAAAATTGTAATTAAATTTTCGTTGTCAGGCAAAATCGATCCATTTTTCCAAGGGTTGGATTTTGTGTGCGTGTGTCTTTGTGTGTGTGTCTCTTTCTCTCTCTCTCTCTCTTATCTCTCTCTTTTTCTCTTTTCTCTCTCTTTCTGTGTGTTTGTGTGTGTGATTGTATAATAAATACCCAAACACATACACATACATGTGCCTATTTGCCATGCTAAATAAACGTTAACAAGGCGGAAAAAAAGCATAGGCTTAAATTACGATCAAACCACACAAACATACACACACACGCACACGCACGCGCATTTCTAAATTTAAATAAGCCGAATGCACGCACACATTATAATAAAACCTCGTTAACTCTCACACTTCACTGTTTTCAAACGCGTATCAAAGGAAGAAACGGACACTAAAATAAACTCACACACACACAATACACCCACACACACACAAATCCACACACTACACACACACACACATACACACATACATTCACAGAGTCAAGGTTGAATTTTTCACAAATGAAAATACCCTGAAGGAGAGATTGCAAATCTACTTCCTGAAGAACCAAAGATCAAGTAATCGACGACGGCGATGACGTAATGGTGATGTGATGATGATGTGATGTTGGTGACGACGACGATGATGATAAGAATGATGATGATGATGATGAGGGTGGGCGGACTGTTGGGTCATAAATTTTATTTGCGTTCATTGGTATTCATTGATTGACTTTTGAATGTAATGATTTCTAATCAATATCAGATCTACTCATTTATCCTTTTGATTATTCATTTAATCATTCATTTGTTCATTCATTTTTCATACATTCGTTCATTCATTTATTCGTTCGTTCGTTCGTTCATTCATTCATTCATTCATTTATTCATTCATTCATTCATTTCTCTTTTTCTTTCTCTCTCTCTCTCTCTCTCGCTCTCTCTCTTTCTCCCTTATCTTTCTCTCTTATTCATTCATTCATTTATTCATTCATTCATTCATTTCTCTTTTTCTTTCTCTCTCTCTCGCTCTCTCTCTCTTTCTCCCTTATCTTTCTCTCTTATTCATTCATTCATTCATTTATTCATTCATTCATTCATTTATCATTCATTCATTCATTTCTCTTTTTCTTTCTCTCTCTCTCTCGCTCTCTCTCTCTCTTTCTCCCTTATCTCTATCCGGTCGTTGTAGTTATCTGTGGTTGTTATGCACACGTAGAAAATAATATTCCAGCCCAGCGTATTTCCCAATGTATAGCAATAAAGATCATTATCATCATCACTTTCATCGTCATCATCATCATCATTACTTTCATCATCATCATCATTACTTTCATCATCATCATCGTCATCCTCAATAATTTATTATCATCATCGTCGTCGTCATCATCATCATCATCAACATCGTTGTTATTGTTCAGGTAAAACAAAACATAACAATAAATAACTTGCATTTTTTTATTTATATTTTTTCTTCTGTTGTGAATGTCAACATTCATTCACTCATTCATTCATTCACTCACTCACTCACTCATTAATTCATTCATTTAATTTTTCTTCTTGTTTTTTATTTCTTTCATTTGTTTTTTCATTCGTTCGTTCATGCATTCATTTTTTTATGTACTTTCATCATTTTGTTTTGTTTACACCCTAATTCTTTTATTTATACTCTCACTCATTCATCCATTCATTTTTTATGTTTTTATTCATTCAATTGTACATTCCTTTGCTCAGTCATTCATTCGTTCATTTAATTCATTTTTTTATTGATCAAAACTCGCTTTTTCATTCATTCATTTATTCACTCATTTTCTACATTTAAAAATCATTCAGTCATTCTTTCATTCACTCACTCACTTATCGATTCATTCTTCCATTCATCCATTCACTCATTTATTTATTCATTCTTCTATTCAATAACTTATTCATTCACTCTTTCATTCTTTCATTCATAAGCTCACTCATTCATTCATTCATTTTCCTCTGCATATTAACAACGCATCATATTACAAAACGTGATAGAAGTTTTTGGGCGGAAGTTCAAGGGCGATGATGATGATAGTGATAAGAAGAATAACCATAATAACAATAACAATAGTAATAATAATGACAATAATGATAATAATAGTAATAATAATAATAATGATGATGACGACGATGATGATGATGATGATGACGACGATGATGATGATGATGATAGGCCTTCGAATTCGAATGTTCAATGTGGTCATGAAGCTGTTGTCGTGTGTGCTGTACGTGGCTCGTGTCGTTATGGAAGAAAATCTCTGCGGACATCCCAGAAATGGCTTCGCATTCGATCCCGGTAGCTCTGCCGCTGCCGCCACCGTTGACAACGACACTCTCAGCTCTGCTACTGCTGCTTCTACTACAACAACGTATGTTTTCTTGTGTTGAATCGTTGTCGTTGTTGTTGTTGTTGGAAGTGTTGATGTTGGTGATGCTGGTTGATTGTTCGAATGGATGGATGATTTTTTTTGAAAAGTGAATTGCTGTTGAATGAATGTATGAATGAATGAATGAATGAATGAATGAATGAATTAACGAATGAATGAACGAAGTAACGAATGATTGAATGAATGAATGAATGAATGGACAAATGAATGAACAAGTAGTTAGACGAATAAATAAATAAATAAATAGATGGATTATTACTTGAATGAAATTTTGAAAAAAACGAAGCAAGATATAATGGATCAAGACAATTTTTTTTTTCAAAATGTTTGAAAGGTTGAGCCCGCCTGATGAGGATGGGAAAACTCAAATTGATTGGTTTGTTCACATTTTTTTGTATGTTTGTTCGCCGTTCGTTTGTTTGCGGTAGTTCACCACTTGTTTGTTCATCGTTTGTTCGCTGTTCCATGTTCATCATCATCAGCGTTCGGATGTATTTGTTCAGTTTTTTGGGGTATCCTAGATTTGTATATTTATGTCGTCGTCAACATCATTATATTACCATCATCACCACCATCAAAACATCATCAAGCCGTCATCGTCATTGTCATCACGCCATCATCATCATCATCATCACCATAACATCATCATCAGGATTTCGATTTTGTGGGTCTGCAGACACGTGTGGTTCTGGGCCATCCAGGTCACAGTGGCCATCATCAGTCTCCTTGAAACGTTACTCGTCACTTATCTCAGTTATAAGGTGACGACGATGATGATGGTGGTGGTGGTGGTCAAGTGATGATGGTTATGATGATGATGGTGGTGGTCAAGTGATTATGATGATGATGGTCAAGTAGTGAGGATGATGATGATGGTGGTCAAGTGATTATGATGATGATGATGATGGTATTGATGATGATGATGATTTTGACGACGATAATGATGACGTCCATTTTTTCCACTGCCAGGGAAACCTCCTACAGCAAATAGTCACGCCAGAATTCATCTTGGAGCTTGTAACTACTGTCCCCTTTATCATCACCGTTAGCCTGATGATGATGATGACGACGACGATGATGATGATGATGATAAAGACGATGATGATGACGATGATGATGATGACGACGATGATGAAGACGATGATGATGACGATCATGATGACGATCATGATGAAGATGATGATGATGACGATCATGATGATAGCTCTGAGTATAATGATGATGATATACGATGTTGATGTTTACAACGGTAAAGTAAAAGATAATAAATAACGACGATTATGTTTCTCTTTCAATGGTGCTTCTGCTGCTAATGAGGACGACGACGACGACGATGACGTCATATCATTATTATTGTTATTATTATTGTTATTATTATTATTATTGTTATTATTATTATTATTGTTGTTGTTATTATTAATGACGTCACAGTTATTCTACCCGCCAATAAAAGACCTCTTCGTCCCCGTCTTTCTGAACTGCTGGCTGGCTCAAATGGCGCTCAGCAATATGTTGGTGTGTAACTTTTGTTTTTCTTATATTTCAAATTTGAAAACTTGTGCGCTACATAAATAACATTATTATTTTTATTAGTATTCTTTCTTTTTTATTACTATTATTATTATAACTCTAAAATAAATTAATTTTAAATAAAATTGTTTCGTATTTCATTTCAACCGACCATCTAATGCCATCTTGACAGAATGACTTGAACAGGGTAAGGCAGAAGTCCCACTCAGCACTCGCTCAACAACTCTTCATACTGCTGGCTACCTTCTTATGCCTTATATTCACCAGGTTTCATCCTTCTCTGGAATATGATGATAGTTCAATTTTCATACAAAAATGTCGTGAAATTTGTTGGTATCTATTTTCAATTTTTTTTTGTATAAACAAAGCGTTCTGCTTTAGTGTTTGTCGCAACAGCCAAAAACATTCTACAACACCATCAGCCACAATTCAACAACCTCATTGAACATTCAATGCCATACAACGTCAACAATTTGTAAAGATTTGTGTGAATTTTTGGCTTCTGAAACGCCAGGAGCGACACCACCACCAACCACGCCACCACCAACCACGCCACCACCAACCACGCCGCCACCAACCACGCTACTAAAACGCCACTGAAACAGCGTTTGCGGCTTCCAGCATCTTCAAAGAGGCAGTAGCAAGACCAAGGTTTCCCTGTTCAACTCCCTCTGGTTTGTCATCGTGACGTATTCAACAGTGGGTTATGGGGACATGTACCCTGACATCTGGCCTTCTAAGCTCTTCATCATGCTTCTCATCTGCACGTCATTCATTGTTCTGCCTAAACAGGTTTGGCTTTGTTCGTTTGTTTGGTTGTCTGTCTGTCTGTCTGTCTGTTGACTTGTTTGTCTATTTATCTGTCGAGTTGTCTGTTGGCTTGTCTGTTTTTTTGTTTGTATTGTTTTGTTTTCATTTGCTTCGTTCATCCATTTAATGTTTTCTTTACACTTTACAATATACATACAAATCTAGTAAGAAAAATTAAAAAGACAAACTCCAAATTGATTAATGCCAACAATTCGGTAGAACTCACACAACACTGTATAAAATATGAAATATGGTCTCCTTTCAACATACAATTCTGTACGAACGTACGTTCTATCATGTACCGTACACACACTCGCTCCGTGTATGAACAACACTTCCCAACGTTAATTAATCAAGATCGACGCCCTGGCGCACACGTGGATGGAGAGGCAGAAGATGGGTGGATCGTACAGCAGCCACCGCGCCTACAACGAGAAGCACGTTGTCGTCGTGTCCACCATCTTGCAGTCTGACGTCATCATGGATTTCCTGAATGAATTCTATGCCCATCCCAAAGTTCAGGTTAGTGTCTGTCAGTTTTTGTTTGTTTGTTTGTTTGTTTTTGTGCGTTCCTACGCGTGAGTGTTTGTAAATGTGTGTTTGTGTGTGTGTGTGTGTGTGTGTGTGTGTGTGTGTGTGTGTGTGTGTCTGTATGTTTGTTTCCTGGATGAGCGTTTCAGTCAGTTTATTCTCGTGTTAAATTATTTCATAAAGCTCCTAATTACAATTGATGATTTGATGAACATTTTAACTATTTTTTTCCGATCATTACATAATTGTATATCTATTAATTAATTTATTTACTTATTAATTATTAATTAATTGATGACAATGATTAAGGATTACTTCGTTGTACTACTTTCACCCTCTGAGATGGATGACACGTTGAAACTTATACTGCAAGTCCCTATCTGGGCAGCGAGGGTTATTTATATCCGTGGCTCCGCCCTCAAGGATTCCGACCTATCACGTTGCAGGTAGTGTTAACTGATTAATATTCATGAATTCATTGTCAATTAATTATGTTTACAAATTTTGCTGATTAATATTCGTGAATTAATTTTTTTGACCTATCAGGTTGAAACGAATTAAAATTATCCTTAATATGAATAATTAATTTCATAAATACCGTATTTTTTATATATTTTAATAATAAAAAGTACCAAATGCGTGCTCCTCTATTTCAAATTTCGTAACGATGACGTCACCGTTACAGATTGCAAGATGCATACGCCTGCTTCTTCATCGTCAGTCGGAACCAGGATAAGATGGCTTCGGTGAGAAATTTACACACACACACACACACTAACACACACACACACGGACACACAGACACACACACACACACACGGACACAGACATATAAACGCATACATGCACGCACACTTTCATAAATACATTATAATATAATATAAATATTGTAAGGCCCTCTTTGTGTAATCTCAAAACACACACTCGCACACATACACACACACAAAGGACCAACACACGATATTGAGGTCATGGGCGGTCAGGGACTTCGCCCCGCAAGTCACCCAGTACCTACAAATATTCAAACCAGAAAATAAACTGCATGTGTATTTTGCCGGTCGGTTGGTTGGCTGGGGTTATCTTTTATTGTTATTGTTATTATTATTGTTATTATTATTATTATTATTGTAATTTTTATTAATAATATATGATAAATAGATAGATAGAAGGATGGATGGGTAGCTAAATAAATGAACATATGAATGGTTTGATGAATGAGTGAATGAATGGATGAATGAATAAATGAATGAATGAGTGAATGAATGAATGAATGAATGAACGAACGAACGAACGAATGATTGAATGAATGAATGAATGAATGAATGAATGAATAAATGAATGAATGAATGAATGAATGAATGAATGAATGAATGAATGAATGAATGAATGAATGAATGAATGACAGAATGTCTGGTCTGCGAGGACGAATTCAAGTACTCCCTACTGGCCAACAACTGCCTCTTCCCAGGAATCTCAACGTTCATGACTCTACTGCTGCATACATCGGACGGACTGTTAGTCAGCAAGGGCCACTTTTTGGATGAATTAATTAATGAATGGATGGATGAATGGATGGACGGATGGATGGATGGATGGATGGATGGATGGAAGGATGGATGAATGGACGGATGAATGGATGGATGAATGGAATGGTTGGATGGATAATTGGATGGATGGTTGGATGGATGGATGGATAGACGGTTGAATGGATAAATGGTTGGATGGATGCGGTAGATAAATGAATGAATAAGCAAACAAGTGAATGATTGAATGATTGAAAAAACAAATAAAGGAACAAAGAACAAACAGACCAGCACTAACATATTAAGAAAAGGATAACATTGTAAATATAAATGGATGAATTGGTGTGAAAAGTTTGAATGAACGAATGAATCAGTGAACGAATGAAGGAATGAAAGAACAAATTAGAATAAATAAATAAATAAATGATCGAACGAACGAACAAACAAATGAATGAATAAACGAACGAACAAATGAATGAATGAACAAACAAACAAACCACCATCTAAAGAGAAGGCCAACACTGTGAACAAGAGTGGATGCGAGTCTATGGGAAGTACAGTGGGAACGAGATGTACCACGTCCTCGCTCGAACAAGCATCTTCTTCGGAGAATACGTTGGAAAAAGTTTCACATTCGCCTCATTTAACGCACACAGAAAGTTGGTAAACATTTCTTCTAAATTTATTAAATTATTTATTTATTTATTAATTATTAATTAATTAATTAATTTTAATAAATTATAATTACATTATTACCATTGTTTTTATAATTAATAATATTATGAGCGATTTCATGTCATCAAACTATTTTCGCTCCTCTTGATTTAAATCCTATTTGAGAGTTTTTCCCCCGCGTCGTCCAACACCGACCAATCAGGTATGGAGTCTGTCTGGTGGGCGTGGTCAGCGAGGGCAAATCAGAGCACATGTTTTTGAACCCGGGCAGCGGTTACCTCCTCAAAGAGTCGGACGTCTGCCTCTACCTTTCGCTGTCAAAGGAGGAAAACGCCTACATCACGAGGTCTGATAAAGAGCAGCGAATGATTGACAGCAGCAAGAAGAGCACATCCTTTCAGGAGAGAGATATATTGGACCCGGAGAAGGGCGTGGAGTCGGGGCCCGCCCTGCGACAAGTTGGTCAGTGATGATGCTGATGACGTTGTTTGTGATGATGATGATGGCGGTGTTGATAATGATGATGATGGCGGTGTTGATGATGATGATGATGACGGTGTTGATGATGAGGAGGATGATGTTGACGACGACGATGATTTCATTACAAATGTGTTGTACTTTTTTTTCGAATGAAATGCAGTTACGGAAGCAAAGAGATTATCAAAAGCCGAGCTGGTTGGCGACTTTTCATCTCCCGAACAGCAACAGCAACAGCAGCAGCTACTGCTACCACCGCCGACAACATCATCATCATCACAACAGCCAACACAACAGTTATCATCATCTTCATCATCACCACCACCACAGCATCAGCAGACCACTTCAAATGCCCTTGACCTTTCTGATTACCCCGACGAGTCAGTTGTTTTTTTTTTGTATTTACCATTTCATTTTGGTTTCTTTGAAAAGTTAACGTTAACATTTTTGATTTCACACGAAAATTTTTTTGAAATTGCGAGATTATCAACAAAGACTCTCACAGATTTCTTTCATATACAACCCGTTAGCACAATTACAAACAAGATAAGTGAGGATGGTTTTTGATTTTTTGACTGGTTGCTATTAATAACTTTATCATCTAAAAATAGCTACACTCTGGGAATTCCACCGGTCAGCCCGTACATCGGGGTGACGCCCCACATATGCCATCTGCTGAGGAGGAAGAGAGCCCTATGCTGCCTCGTCATCAATGAGGTGGGCGTTATATATTATAATTTATTCATAATTTATTCATAATTTATGTTAATTTATTCATCGTTGGTGTCCATTAGAAGTATAATGCATACTTTCGAGATAATCTTATTCATCCACTGTACAGATGAATTTTGACCGACAGCTTAACATTTTTATTAAAAATTTTACAAAAAAAAACAATAAAATAATCATAAATATCAATCAAACATTGCTCGTGAATATTGATGAGTTGTAACTCCGCCCCCTCTTAGACCTGCGAACACATAGATAAGACGCAAGCTTCGGATTACGATTGGAAGAACAAATGTACCATCGTCATCGCTGACGTGGTCAGTACTGCCCTCTTCAACTTCGTCATGAGAATGCGTGGTAGAAATGTCAATCACCGGCTGCTCCAGCCAATCATAATTGTCGTTGAAAAAGATAGGTAAAGTGAGTTTTTTTTTTACAAGTTTTGGATAAATGTCTTGCAATTGAATATATGTAATTTGTGATTTTAGATTTGGGTTAAATATTGACAATAGATGAAATTGTAATTTGCACCGTAAATGATAAAAGATGATAACGATTGAGATAATTGAAATGATGATGATATATGATGATATATGATGATACCAACAGACCTGACGCTTCTTTCTTGGATAGCATATCATACTTTCCTGAGGTTTACTGGATGATCGGATCAATAGACTGGTATTTTGTTTCATTCATTCATTCTTTCATTCATTCATTCTTTCATTCATTCGTTCGTTCATTCATTCGTTCGCTCATTCATTCATTCATTCATTCATTCGTTCGTTCGATCGTTCATTTGTTCGTACATACACACGCACACACAAACACACACTCACACATAGTCTAGATGACCTGCTAGTAGCGGGCATAACGCAGTCCCACAACATTGTGGTGGTCAATAAGGAACTGTCCAATGCCATTGAAGAAGACACATTGGCCGACTGCAACACCCTGGTAGCAGTTCAAACCATTTACAGGTCGGCTCTGGTTGGCTGTTGAATTATAAGGAAAAAAAAAATCTATAATTAATTCGGAATTATAGTTAATTAATTATTTAGTCAATTAACTGGGGTCGGTTGTTGAATTATAAGGAAAAAAATCTATAATTAATTCGGAATTATAGTTAATTAATTATTTAGTCAATTAAGTGGGGTCGGTTGTTGAATTATAAGGAAAAAAATCTATAATTAATTCGGAATTATAGTTAATTAATTATTTAGTCAATTAGTTATTATTATTTGTTATATAACTACATATAATTAGGTTGGTTGTGGCTGGACGTTGAGTTATAAGAAAAATTCTACAGTTTAAATCTTAGCTATAACTTATCAATTGGTTTACTAGTTATTATTAATTATACGATTACATATAATTAAAAATTGAAAAAATCTTAAATTAGTTTGTAATTATGATTGATTGATAGGTTAATTAATTAGTAATAACTATAAAATAATATTTAAATGATTATGAAATAATTTTTTGTAAGATTGTTCCCGACATTAAACATCGTGATGGAGTTGTCGCAGGCTTCCAACATGAGGTTCATGAGGTTTAGGCCTAAGGATAGTACGCAAATGAAGTTCTCGAAAATTGAAAAGGTCATTTTTTCATTCATTCGTTCGTTCGTTCGTTCGTTCGTTCGTTCGTTCATTCATTCATTCATGTTATAAAATGTTGAAGGAACAAATGTACGAACAAATGAATGAATGGGTTCAATGAAGAATAAACAAACGAATGAATGAATAAATAATTCACCGAATGAATGAATAAATGCACGAATGAATGAAAAAATGAATGAAAAAACAAATGAATGAACGACAGAGAGAGCGAGAGAACGGATCGCACTTGTACTTCATGTTCCGACTTCCGTTCGCAGCTGGCTGTGTCTTCAGCGCAAGCATGCTTGATACCATCTTGTATCAGGTCATTATTATTATTTTTATTAAATTATTATTATTATATTATTATTATTATATTATTATCATTATTGGGCAGGCCTTCGCCAAAGAGAATGTGATACAATTTGTGCGGATGATTCTTGGTATAGACGAACACCCCATGTCCGGTCATCTCTCATCTGTTTGTACTTTCTTTCATTCATTCATTCATTCATTCATTCATTCATTCATTCATTCATTCATTCATTCATTTATTTAGTTAGTCATTTATTTATTTGTTTATCAATTTGTTTGTTCATTAATTTATTCATCCATCCATCCATCCGTCACAAATAAATGCTTAAAAAAAGAACTATTTTTGTCGGCCAGTCCCCTATCATTATCACTCGCTCATCCATTCATTCATCTATCCGTCCATCCATTCATGAATGAATGAATGAATGAATGAATGACAGATAAAAATAACAAGCGAGGAGATCTGGGTAGGGACGTACGGTCGCCTCTATCAGAAACTTTGCTCAACAACTCGGGAAATCCCAATTGGTATCTATCGAACCCAGGAAAATATGACTACACTGGTTAGATTCGCTTTCGCTTTCAACACACACACACACATACACACACACATACACACACTCAAACACACACACACACTCATAAACAAAATAAACATAAACAAAAAACCAAATCTCCACATATAAGCATACACAGATACACAACATACATAACACACAAAAAAACATACACTCTTATACACACAAACACACAAACGCACACACCACAGACACACATACAAACACATACAAACACAGGGCATACTAGAGACGATAACGAACTACGATGTAGTTGACTATAAGACGTGCCGAGAAACCGAGAATATGGTCAGGTGTAGGATGGAGTCTCTGGGCTTGGCCTGCCGTAGGATGGCCGAGCAGATGAGGGGCGATGTCCCCCTTAATGACCTCATCCAACAACATCATCATCCAGAGCAACAGCAGCCACAAGAACAACCACAACAACAATGTGATAACCATGAATCTGCAATCGTTAGAGATATAAACCAAAAACCGCTTGGTATGATTATTATTTTTTTATTATTATTATTATAAACATATTATTTTATTATGGTTATAATTTTCATAATCATCCTCATCGTTATCATCGTCATCACTCACTATCGTTCGGAAAGAAAATGTCTGGGGCAAGAAAGAAGCCCTCTCGTACGTCATCATCAACCCCAGCAACGACCTTGAACTTCAACTTGACGACATCATGTTAGTCTAACTGTCATTTTATCACCATGGTGGTGACGACGACGATGATGATGTGGTGACGATAAGGATGATGATGAAGATTATTATGATGATGGTGATGAAGATGAAGATGAGGATTATTATGATGATGGTGATGAAGATGAGGATTATTATGATGATGGTGATGAAGATGAAGATGAGGATTATTATGATGATGGTTGATGGTGACGACGATGATGATGACGTTTGTGATTGTAAAAAAAATATTATTTTTCTCCATTAGATACACGATAAAGCCAGCTATCTAGAAAAAGAGCAAAGGAGGGAAACTAAATGAAGGAGAGAGAAAGAGAAAAGAGAGAGAGAAAGAGAAAGAGAGAGAGGGAGAGAGAGAAAGTGAGATCTCAACAAGACACCATAACCACCATTTCATCATCGTTGTTACCTTGTTTATAAATCTTTTTTTTCCATATTATTCTTTTTCAATTTTTTAATTTTAAACTAATTTTCTTACTTCGATCTAACTGCATTTGCTTCTTTGCCATTCGCATTTTTCAGATTGTAAGCGTTAGTAACAATAGTAATAACAATAATTAAAACGAGTAATAATAATAAATATAATATAATATAATAATAATTTTATATTTATAACAAAATGCTTCAATGCTTGTTAGTTAACGTAGTATTGTAATTAATATATTAGTAATCATTACAAGCTTGTCGATGAATAATAACAACAACATCAACTATATTAATAATAATAATATTTAAAATTTATAAAAATAATAATAATAATAATAATAGTGATTAATTATAACTAATAATATTATTGAGCTGATAGTAGTAGGTCGTGTTTGTTTTTTTTTGTGAAGCTTTCTTTTACTTACATGATATTATATTACATTATATTATACACAGCGCCCCGTTATTTAAGCCAGGAGAGCATCCGCAAGAAAGGAACCTCCATAAGAAAGGGCCCTCCATAAGAAAGGGGCCTTTTATAAAAAATGGCCCTCCATAAAAAAAGGGACTTCCATAAGAAAGGGGCTTCCGTAAGAAAGGGGCCTCAATAAAAAAGGGCCCTCCATAAGAAAGGGCTTTCCATAAGAAAGGGCCCTCCATAAGAATCGGCCTTCCATAAGAATGGGCTTTCCCTAAGAAAGATAGCGTAACTTTGTAATTGTAATGTAAAAACGTGAAATAAGCAAGAAGGGGTTCACCAATCTTTTTAAAAACCAATGTTGATGCCAAGTTAAGTTAAATAGGGACCTATATAATTAAGGGCCGTCAACTTTTTCCTTGCCTTAGGGCGTGCACATTTGTTAATCTAGCTCTGGTGATATTTATTGTTATAATATAATAAAATAATATATATATATATATATATATAATATTATGTTTTATTTATTTTAATCCTATGCGTGTTTGGATGAAATAGAATTAAATAAATCTATTTTCTAACATCGCTTCTCGTCAACCGCGCAGATTTTTTCTCATACAGTTTTCTGTCATTTTGTCATTTTATTGTGAGATTATTTTGATTTCGAATTACTTTTCAGTTTTTTCTGTTTGAATTATTATTCAACAGTTTGATTATTTGGCTATATTTTTAGCAGAAACAAATTATTAAACATTTTTCTAATCACAGAATAAGTAAAGTGTATGGCAGTTTGATAATTCGCTCACAAATTACTAGGCCTAAATACTAAAATATGGTTACAAGAAAATGTTGACTAACAATTATAAACTAGAAGTTAAGTATTTATGCTAGTATTCAAGTAATCTGATCAATTGCTTTTGTTTTTGATTAATTATTGATTAGTGGTGAATTATTAATCCATAGTTTGTGGATCTCACGTTGATATTATATTATTTATTATACTGCATTTTCGCGGTGCCAATTTTGTGTGTGTTTTTTTACAAAGTGTTGTTTTTCTTACAAACTACACATATAAATAGATAAATCTTATGAAATAATATTCTTTATATATGATACTACAAGATGATATTTATATATGATACTACAAGATGATATTTATATATGATACTACAAGATGATATTTATATATGATACTACAAGATGATATTTTTGCATTTGTGATTCAATATATACAAACTGAATGCTCAAAATTGAGAAAATATTGATCAATATTTTATATAGCTTTAAGGAAGTCAGATGTGTTTGTTATATTTTATGATCAACGTTTTTGTGTGATGAGGATTTTATTTTTATTGTTAAATATATTGAATTCAATAAATTATTCTATTAAAAACTATTTAAAAAAAATCGAAAGTACTTTAAAAATCGATTGAAAAACATACGACGAAACTCCTTATGAGTGCAGGGTGGGGAGGTCGGTTGGTTAGTTTCTCGCCCCCTGTCAAATTTCCAAATATAAATAATTTGCCCCTTCCCAGTCTAAAATCCGCTCCTGCAAGTGTTTGACCCAATATCTAATTTAAAAAAGAACCAGGGTGGAATTTCATTAAGCTGCTGACAAGTCATATTCAGAAAGTTAGCCGGTTTACGATCGTTTTCTTGTTCTCACTTCTTCTTTACTCGTGTTAAACACTCTTCTGCAAAATCTGCACTAGCTTTTTCTGGCCCTTTTTTCTGGAACTCTCCACCTCCTTCTCTAACTACTTCTCCATCACTTACGAAGTTTAGAGTGGATCTGAAGACCTATCTGTTTGCAAAACTCATTGATGAGCGCTGTTGAACATCGCGGAAATAGCGCTTTATAAACTAATTGATTGATTGATAGTTGAGGTCATCTGCTCTGCAGTGTGGGTAGTCTCAAGAATTAAACTAGTGAAAATGATGTTATGTTATTCATTGCATTGTCGTCGTTTTTTATATAAAAGAGGCTTTTGAGACTTCTACGTAGTGTTAGTTTGCTTTTAATTATTTATTTTTTACTTATTTTGCGTTTTTTATACAAGATAAATGCAAAAATTCATTTGTTAAATGTGCAAAGGTATATAAAGTTTGAAATATAATGCATTTGGTGTTCCACAGCGTTTCATCTTTGCTCCTGAATAAATAATAGACGTCTAACTAAATAAATATTTAAATGGTCTGGATTTTTTATTTTTTGGAAGCTTTTTAAATTTTCTTGCGTTTGCGTGATGTCTGTTTTTACGTTTGCTGCTTTTTTTCTGCATTTTTTCATCCAAATAACATCGGGTTAGAAGTTGATCCCAACATTTCATTGTTTCAATTTATTTAAACTACTTTTCTAATGCAAAGTTGTGTAATGTAATGATTCATCATCCATCAGCTATCAGCAGATCAGTTGGTTCACTCATTTCATTTTAAATTAAATTTTTCAAATTTTCTTCCAAGTTTTAGTGTCTCCACATCGCAAATTCTCCATCTAATGGCCAATAAATAAAGAATAATAAAATGAAATAGCAATAATGAACAAACCATTTAATAATTAAATTTTAATTCATGTTTTGTTGCAACACTAGAGACTAAATCACCAAACAAAAACATTAAATTTTGATCCTCTTTACGAAGATAAACAAACGAGAACACTGAATGAGTACATTGGGGATTATGAAGAGTTGTCATATGACCTGCGCACTATCCATTCGACACATCTTAGGAACAAACGATCGGCCAATCAAGACCTTCCACTCAGAATCAAATTCAACTCCCATGGAAGGTTATTGTTGCTTAGCAACTCTCAACCATTCAAATATTCAATAAATTAAATTTTATTATTTGTAATGAAAAGTTTTTCTGAATCATCAATCAATCATTATTTAAGCAGTTTAGTATAAATTGGTTCAAATTCAATTTAGCTGCCTAATTTTATTAAATTAAAATATATAAAATTGTGTATGAACTTCAAAAGGAACTTTTCAATGCGCCTTACAAGAGATCGCACAACATTCCACAGAAGTGTCGAATCAGTACAACCTGATGGTTCATTGAGGCCATTAGATGTATCACATATCTATCAGGGCTTCCTTGAAGGTAGAAATAATAATCTAATAAAAATGTATTTAATTACATCAAAAAATTACTAAATTGTAATTAATGTTATAGTTACATATTATGAAAAAAAAAATTATCAAAATGTTGGTTGTAGATGAGCCAAAAGATTCATATGTCCATGGATCCGTGATTAATGGAATCTTTGCAGGCAGAATTGAATCGAGGAGATTGGGAACATTTTACGTTGAGAAGAGTGAGATTTACTTCAAGGAACCGGTCCCATTTCATTCCATCATTTATCATGAGGATCACGTTCGCAGCATTCAACATGTCAATCTAAGGTCAGCTGGTTTATTGGCTGGTTGATTGATTGGTAGATTGGATAGTTGGTTGGCTGGCTGGCTTGTTAGTTTTTATGTTACATGGTTGGCCAATTGGTAAATTACCAAAAAACTAGATATATTCAAATAATTATATGTTCAATGAATATTTTGAACCAAATGTAGTTAGGCCACATTTCAGTTGAATAATAAATATATTTTCACAGACGAAAGAGAAATGCAGATAGCCATACAAGTTCAGCTAATGAAACAGGTGACAGCAATGGTGAGGATGATAGGACCAATCACATCAACGTCGGGTGTGGTCTCTCTCATCCAGATGTCCATGACTGGATGGAAAAAATTCAAAACTCTGCCGCTCCATCCAGTCACAATGAAGTATTTAACTACTTTTATTCAATGTTTCTTCTTAATTTTTTATTTTACACGTGCACCATTTTTTAGAAGAAATTAGATCAAGAGAAGAATGAAAAGAAAAATGGCAGCAGTGGCAGTAGCAGCAGCAGCAGCAGCAGTAGCAGCAGTCATAACTCATACCACCATCGTTACCACGCTCACTCCAACCAGCATAGTAATTTGAATATTAATAAGAAGAGACGATCGACCAATAACACTCGAGATAACAGATTATGTGCACTCTTCCTCCAATCGGATCCCGTCTTATGGGACTACATGACCCGAAGTCCCAATGAACGATATTACGGAGGGCTGGGTTATGTAAGTGGCTGTGTGTGTGTGTGTGTGTGTGTGTGTGTGTGTGTGTGTGTGTGATGTTTTTGTATGCGTGTGTATGTGTTTGTGTGTGTATGTATCTTCTCGATCCGTCTTCTGTAAAATTGTGCTTCTATTTGCATAATGGCTGATAACTTTAATAGGTAGGATGATGTCATTGATGATGTTAGTGATGTGCTTGTGAGATGTTGCAATGATAAATTAGCGATGTACCTGGGGACGTTACTACAGTCGGCAGAACGAGCTCGTGAGGAAATCACATCCCTGTTCGCCAGTCACGTGGATGGGATCAAGAAAATCTACAGTAACACGATATTCAAGTACCAGGACATTGGGCCTTACACTGGGTTCACCTTCGCCGTTCATCGCGTTCAGGTTGACTGGTTGGTTAATTGGCTGGTTGGTTGATTGATTGGTTGGTTAGTTAGTTGGTTGGTTGGTCGGTTGATTGGCTGGTTGGTTGAGGCTGGTTGCGTTTTTGTAACACCACTCTGATGATCCTAAACTTTTCTTTCCCAACTGATTATACTCAGATAAACACGTCAGATGATTGTGAACAGCAGCAGCAGCGGCACTCTCAACCTTCACCTCCATCGTCATCATCATCTTCATCATCGTCGTCGTCGTCGTCGTTTTCAGCTCAACAGCACCACCACCATCAACATCACTCAACGAATCCATTTTGTAAGTGGAATGTGGACGTGAGTTACTTCTTAAATCTGAACTCCCTGTCCAACCACGACCTCTTCTGCCTGGCCTACGTCTTCACCTACAGGGACTTCTCTCATGGGACTCTGGGACTGGCCTGGGTGGGATCCTATCTGAGTTAGTCGTCGGGATTGGGATGTTGAGAGAGTGAGTGATTATATGACCGAATTGATGGTAGCAACGATGATGATGACGACGATACGATGCGATACGACAGGGGCCAGCGGTGGCCTATGTGAGAGGTACAAACACTACAACGAGAACCACAGAATGGTCTACAAAAGCCTGAACACCGGCATCGTAACCCTGGTCAACTACGGCTCAAGGGTACCTCTCAAGGTTTCAACTTTGACCTTTGCCCATGAAGTCGGGCACAATTTTGGCTCGCCTGTTAGTTTTTTTTTGTTTCGCTTTTTTGTTCGCTTGCTTGCCTGCCTGCTGTTTATCCGTTGATATGTTTGCGTTCGTGTGCGTACATACGTACGTAAGTATATGTTTGTGTGTGTACGTGTGTGTATCATTCTGTATGTATATGCCTATGTAAAATGGATATGTACGTGTATGTACGTTGAAACGGATTTCTATATTTATGAATATGTTCAGCTCTTGGTTATGTAAATCAAGAGAATACAAAGTTTTACATGATTGAAACAAACACACCAGCACGATTTTGGCGAGTCTTGCATTCCATCGCTGCATCAACCTAACAACCTGAATGGCAACTACATCATGTTCGCCTCAGCCACCAGTGGCGACAAGCCGAACAACCACGAGTTTTCAACCTGTAGTATCAACAACATCACCCTGGTTGGTTCGTTTGCGGGAACGACTGTTATGGAGATGGTGACGGTGATGAAATTATAACAACGATGACTATACATAATGTGGTACACATACATTCGCTCACACATACAAACACACTCACATACACTCACTCACACATACAAACACACTCACATACACATACACTCACTTACACATACAAACACACTCACATACACATACACTCACATACAAACACACTCACATACACATACACTCATATATAAACACACTCACTTATACAAACACACTCACATATACAAACACACTCACATGACTATACACAAATACGCACAACAGACATAAATTTATGCCATACACAACACATATACATCGGACGCCAATACATTCACATACCTACCTACCTACTGCCCTAACTAACTTCCAGGTCCTAGAAGCTGTTCTGAACGAGCAGAATGGCAAGGACAATTGCTTCAGTCAGAGCGAGGAGGCATTTTGTGGCAATGGCATGGTTGAGGAGGGCGAGGAGTGCGACTGTGGGTTCGCCTTGGACTGCCTCGCGCCTCAAAGAATGGACCGCTGCTGCTACGAGAGAGAGTCCAGTAAACATTGTACCAGGAAACCCAATGCCACTTGCAGGTTGGTTCGTTTTTCTTTCTTCCTTTATGTTATCTCTCTCTTTCTTTTTTTTTTCTCTCTCTCTCTCCCTCCTTCAAGTATTTATTTACATCTATATTTTTCAATCTCTCTCTTTTTCTCGTTCTCTTGAAATTTGTACCTTCCTCCTATCCATCACAGTCTCGGCAATGTTGATAATGATCGTCACAGATATCGTAGGTCATTGTTGGTAGTTTTAAACTGCCATCTAAGTAACTCTTTATCATCTTTATCTTCATCGTCACCGTCGTCATCTCCTCCTGATCATCATCATCATCTCCTGATCATCATCATCATCTCCTCCTGATCATCATCATCACGTGACCACTCCGTGCAGCCCGTCAGAGGGACCATGTTGTCTGGGGGAGAGGTGCAATTACGTCCAAGCTTCACCCCGTGTCGTCTGTATGCATGAGCAGGAATGCAGTGAAACGTCATATTGCAAATATCCTTTCCATTTGTCTGTCTGTCTGCTTGTCTGTCTGTCTGCTTGTCTGTCTGTATTAATGTATTTATGCATGTATGTTTGTGTTTGTATGTGTGTGTGTATGTATCTATGTATCATTGTATTTATGTATGTTTGTGTTTGTGTGTGTGTGTCTATAAATATGCTGTTAGCCTGAACTTTGACCTGCAATACTGGCCAGGGTGCGAAGTGCCCACAACCCTCTCCCAAGCCCGACTACACCCTTTGCAATTTCAAGACACAGATCTGTAAGAATGGGGTAAGAATTAGTAGTAGTGCCCCTGATCACGTGATGGTGATGGTGACGGTGGTGAAAGTTACTTCTGTGTGTTTTTCGTCTGATATTTTTTTTTGTAAAAAAAAACCCATGAATGTATGTATGGTCGGTTGGAAAAAAGTATGTAAATGAATAGAAAGATTGAGAAATGGAGGAATGGAAAGTGAATGAATGAAAAAGTGAGTGAATGAAAAATTGAGTGAATGAATGAATGCATGCATGAATGAATGAATGAATAGGTTTTTTCAGACAGATGGTTTTACTAAAAATGAATAACACTTTGTAAATATTAATTAACAAGAACAGCCGTGAATAAAATTCAATTAAATTTTCAGATGAATAATATTATTAATCACAGAATAAATTAACAATAATATTATAATTGTCGTAATTATAAATATAATAATAATAATTATAATTTCTCAGGAGTGTGCGGGCTCTGTATGCGAGATGGTCAACTGGTCTGTATGTTCGTTGGAGGCACCTGTGGAAGATAGAACTTTTGACCGGAGGCAGTTGTGTTATGTTGCTTGTCTGAGTTGGTCTTTGTTGCTGTTGTTATTGTTGTTGTTGTTTTATTATTCTTTCATTTATTTTGTTGACTGGTTGATTGATTGATTGGTTGATTGATTAATTGATTGATTGATTAATTGATTGGTTGATTATTGATTGATTGGTTGGTTGATTGATTGACACACAGACCCAGTAACATCAGCATGCATTAGCACCGGCAGTATGAAAGATGTTTGGAAGAGACCCAACAAAGAGCTCTACGACCTCCTCCTCAAAATCAACACCACAGATGATGGAATATTGTTGCCAGCTGGTCAGTTATACGTTCATAATGACCTTGCATTCTCTTCTTTTGACCTTTTAATGACCTTGCGTCGTTCTCTTCTTTTGACCTTTATAATGACCTCAATAATTAATGTATGAATCTGTATGACCGTTGAGGTCGTAAGGGTCAATCTGTCTAAAAAAAAAATTTTTGGTGTTGTTAAAAAAAATTGTTGTTATGTCAAATCTATCACCTGTAACAGTTACCGTTAACTTTGAGGTTTTTGCATTTTTTCTCTTTTTTAATATTTACGAATACGATATAGTCAAACGATTGTCTTGAATTTAATTTTTAGGTCAGAAAATTATGTAAAACATTAAGATAGTTATCAAAAACTGAACAAATTCTTCATCATTTATTTGGGGCTAAAATACTCATCTGCCCTTGCTATTAACTGTTAAGTAGTCAGTCATCTACGACCTTGACTCATGTCACGTTCATTCAGTGACCTTGACTCGTGTCACCTTCATTCAATGACCTTGACAGGGGCACCGTGCGACAACTACAGAGGCTACTGCGACGTCTTCCACAAGTGTCGGGCCGTCGACGAGGAGGGCGTGCTGTTTAGATTGATGTACCTCGTTTTCAATGGACAGACGATGGACAAAATTAAAACTTGGATACTTGTTAGTTTGATTTTTATTCGTCGCTGTGTCAGACGGCTCTTGGAATTCGAACCCAGTGACTGCAACATCAGATCCATGGAGCTGTTCTATTACGCCGCCTAGTAGATCCATAACTTAGAATGACGTCATATTGAGATTGAGTGAAAGTACGGATGAATTAATTGTTAGGAGAAGTGGTGGGCCGTGCCATCAGTCGGACTGACCATCGTTCTTGTGATGGGGGTCTTCATCAAATGCTGCGCAGTCCACACGCCGAGTAGCAACCCCAGACAGCCGCCTGCCAGGAAGCTGACTCTACCCAGAAGGCACATTCAACGGCCTCAACCTTTCAACCCTCAACCATCGGTACGCTATTTACTGCGGTTACAATTCTCTCTCTTGTTTTGTCAAACGTTCGTCATCATAAAAATTGTCGCCACCGTGATAACTCCAACTAACTCACTGACTAATTAGATAAGCCATGTATGACTATTAAATATCTACTGATTGGCAGATTGATTAAATGAATGATTGATTGAATGAACGAATGATTGTATGAACGAATGATTGTAGATACCTCTGGGCCCTCCTCCGCCGTATACCCCCACTCCAGCCGTTCATCCACCCCGCCTGCAACCCCAACAGGGCAAACGAAGGCAGTCCCCATCGTCGTCGTCGTCCTCTCATCGCCATGGTAACGCTGGCAGGCAACAGCAAAGATCCAGGAGGATATGAAGCTGGAGTTTTGGAAAGATGCTATTACTCTATCATCATTATATATTACTATATTGTTATTATTATTATTGTTGTTGTTGTTATTATTATTATTACTATTCTAATATTTTTTGTTGATCCTATGTTTATGTTGTTCTTGGTTTCACTGCATGCCATTCAAATGTTTTATTTTTTCCGTTCTGTTGTTGTTTTTCCTTTGCATATTGTGCTATATACAAACAACTCAATTGTAATTAGAAATACATCAAGTCATTTGTATCATAAAATGCTCAGTCAGTCAGTCAGTCAGTCAGTCAGTCAAACAGTAAAATTTTTATATCCGTGCTACGCCATCATCATCATCTTTTATTTCCATGTTACATACATCATCATACACGCGTCTGCGTGGATGTTTGACATCTACACTTTTACTTTTATATATCAATGTCAATTTTATAAAACTGCTAAACTGACGAAATCATGTTATATTGTTGAATGTTTTGTATCACACACACACACACACACACACACACACACACGCTTAAATACATACATATATTTCTTATGCGCAAACAAGCCTAGCTTATCGAATGTTTGTTGTGGAAAAACTACACACACACACACACACACACACACAGAACGACATAGATAAAAGTTGAACCCGGAAAGGATTGCTTGTATCAATACAGCAGGTTTGATGAAGACGTACACACACGCACGGTCATGTATATCGCATACACGTATTTTTGCGTTTGTGTGTTCCAGTTTATCTTTAATCATGTTTTGAGATTTACTTTATAAAGTACTGCATCTAATATAAATATACGTATATATGTGTATCTATTTGTGCGTATGCATGTATGTATGTGTGTGTATGTTTCTGTCTATTTGTTTTATTTTTATACTCCATTTCATCGTTTGTTAATCACGGGTTCAATTAATAACTTCTTTTATTTTTGTGACCCCTGTAAATTTATAAACAAACAAACAAACATAACAAATGAATGAACTATATGTCTGAACAAATGATTCAATAGATAGACGAAATGAATGGATGGATGGATGGATGGACAGATAGATAATTGATGGATGAATGAATGAGTGACGGAATAACTGAAAGTATGAAATGTTTCTATGTGAACTTAACTTTCAAACAAGAACGAACTCATTCAATCAAAATAATTTATAGAAGTTAAAAAATAAAGAAGCTAAGTTTATTACGAATTGAATTATTACGAATCTCATACATGTATATATATGTGTGTTTGTATGTGTGTGTGTGTAGCAAATAGTAATATATTGGCATTAGTAAATCATTTCATCGACTGCTGTCTGGTGATCACGACAGATCTCTTGGATTCTACCATTGGTCCATTAGAAATTGTGGTGACCAGTGAATGAGAGTCCTTCGACTCGACGACTCTTCTGATTGGCTGCTTCATATCTGCAATTATTAGCATTAACAATTCAGAACCAATTAACAGCTGCATTATTTGCAATTAAAAAAAATACCAGTTAAGAAATGATAATGAAATGAATTATTTTGGATGAATTATGAGCCAATCCGAATTGAATTATACAAGTCAATTATAATCAATCAATCTTCGTTTTGCGTCAAGAGACCCGGTTCCCCGAGGTAGGACGTCAATTCTGCAATATAAGTCAATTATAATGATCCAAAAACCACGAATTACAATGATCTAACCGATATTATGAACATCAAGCGTCTCGAGGACAGAGGTTGATTCACTGACGTTTGTTGCTTTACTGCTGCTATCAGCTGATCCTGCCACAGCTGCCAGCGCCGATGACGACGACGTAGTTTGTCGTTTGGTTCGTCTGTCGTGGATCTTGTGTCTATAAAGAGTTCGGGAAAAAAGAATTGAAGATTGTAGAAAATTGAGGTTATTAGCAGTGGCAAGTATAATTTTGTTTCACCGTTTGCACATTTTTTGCAGGTGACTCTGGAGAATACAGGTTATACAAGAACGTACACACAGGCAGGTACACATAGAATTGATCAAACAAACAACCAACCAACCTTAGATCACATTCATCCAAACTTTTGTGCCCTTGCTCCATTGGAACTTGTGATCCAGAAGACTTGTGACTTTCACTACAATCTCCGCCATTGCTGTTGCTGCTGCTAATGATGACTGTAAATTTCAGCATCTCCCTGTCTGCCTCTGTCAGCCTAAACTTTTTAACCCCCTTGTGAGCCCCCAATAGAGCACCACCATCAGCCTCACCATCGTTATTATAGAGAAAAGGGAATTTCTTGAATGAACTTAGCTTGTAGAGTGGCTTGAAGACATACTTGTTATCATCATTGTAAGGTATGCGAACGTATTCAGAATGTTTCAGTGGTGGGTAGATGTCGTCATTGTCATCTTCGGCTCTGTCATCATCTCCCTTTTTGTTGTCAACATCGGCAAGTTTGTTTCTTCTGGATGAGGATGAAGTGATGATGGATTTCAGTTGTGAGGAACTCCTTCCTCTTTGTGCCTGGCTGGAGGTTGATGGAAAGTTTATTTTGTAGTTGGAATCATCAGATAATGGAGATGGTGATCTCGACACGTCTTGTTCGTTCCTCCTTTCATCGTGCTCACTCTCCATCATTTCATTTCTATTCTGTTGCTCTGCTGCCACTGCTATTGCTTCATCATCGTTACGATGGCCTTCGTCATCGTGTTCAACGTACTCATCAGTTGAACTTCCCCTACTTTGTGTCATTTTTATTTTCTTGGAAGATGGGCAGATGCCATCATTACTTTTATTGTGATCGTCGTCGTCGTCGTCATCACTCAACTTGTGTTTCCTGTTTCGTTCATATTCAGCAAGTCTATCAACTAAATATCTTTTTTTGTTGCCGAGCTGTTGCTGGTTAGCTGTTGCATCATCATCGTTATCTCTCTTCTTCATCTTGTCTTCACTATCACCACCATCTTCAGCATTATTCTTATAATTATCATCCTCATTGTGAGTGCCATCACCTTCGGGTTGTTTGTCTTCATTTGATGTTTTATTCTCAGCAGAAGTCGATTTGTTATCTGGCGGTTTGTAACGGTACTTTATATTGAAGAACCTTGAGTTACCTAGGTATGGTCTCGGTTTCAACTTGGGACTGAGAGATTTGAAAAGGGATTCGGGTTTAGAGGTGATTGCTTTGATGTAGGATGGTGAATAGTTGGATCTTCTTCTCCCGGCCGGTGGAGGAACAACAGCTGGCAGATGAGGAGGAGGAGGGGGGTATTTCGATTTGTAAAATGGCCTCACCCTATCTTTACCTAAATCATAACGTTTGGGAGAATACTTTCTGATGGTGGTGCCACAATGTGGTAGTGGAGGAGGTGGTGGAAATCTTCTAATGAACTCATTGCTAACATAGGGTCTAGCATCTTTTCTTTGGTGATAGGCATCATCTTTAGCCAGGTACTCACTTTTATATAGCTGGCGACTTAGATCCTTGTTTCGATAATAAGACTCTTTACTCCGATAATCAGACTCTTTACTCCGATAATCAGACTCTTTGGTTCTGTAATCAGAGTCCTTACTTTTGTAATCATCAGAAATGTCTTTGCTAGAGTAACTCTTCACTGGAGATCTCGACCTGTAAGATCTAGGCAATCGACTGTCGCTTTTCCTGCTCCTAATCATCGTATCTCTCTTATCATCACTCTCCTCGCTACTGTCTTTCTTCCTATCGAACTTTGAAGACGATTCTTTGTGGTAGTCATCGTACTTCTTTGTTTTATAATCCTGCTCTACATATTTCTTTTTGTAAGGACTGTAGCCTAGATGATGTATTAGGAGTTACCCATTAAAATTATTTATTTATTTATTATCCTTCATATTAACATTATTAAATTGTTAAATTATTAATGTTTACATTATTAGCATCATCAAGCAAGTTAATGTATTAATTTATTATTAGTTGTTTTTAATTTATTAATATCGTTATTACACTGCCATTGTTACTCTATCATTATTCTTTTAATATTAGATGCTGTTTTCATGTAGAATTATATTGTTAAACAATATTACTAATTATTATTGATTTCATTAAATGGCATTTTGCATAGATAGGTCACTGCAGCCAACTTCATTAAATTTCCATTTTAATTAAGCACTTAACTAACCAAATTTATTATTTGACAACCTCAATCATATTAAAGATAATTAATTTTATATTAATATTATCATTACGTTTAATTATTATTTTGTTAATAATGATAATTAAATTATAATTATCAAATCTAAATTTCTAAATATAACATTTATTATTAATTATTTTATTATGAATTCTTTCAACCATAACATTACTTTTTGCATCTTTATTTGATGAACCGAAGCGATCTTCTTCGTAATCTTTACCTCCCCACTTATAACCTGACGAACTACTTTTATTATAATCGTCGCCATATTGATCCCTGTGTGATCGCCTCTCTGGACTTTTACTACTCTTGTGCTCACTGCGTTGGTCAAAATTTTTCAAGATTATTTGAAAATATCAAATTCAAAATGAATAAATTTTAAAATATTTAATGAAAACATACCTTTTGTACATGGCAACTCGTGTCGAATTCTCAAGGTGGCAGTTTTATTGCGTGGAATATTTAATGCGGGAACAAAACTATCACTCATCGGCATCCATTAAAGATTTTTATACTTAGCTTTCAAAGAATTGTAAGCAAAGACAAAAAGTATGGAAAACTAAACGCTTCGAATAAAATTAAAAATCTCAAAATTTTTACAATTGACAGAAATCAACAAATTCGACATATATATGTTAATGTAATTTATATTATTTTAAAAATTTTCAACTATACCGTTGTTCATTTTTTTTTAATTCGACACTTAACTGTATCATCCTATCTTAATGAGGTCATAATTCTTGGATTGAAACTTGCGTTATAAAAATGTAAACTGTATACTAATAATATCAGTATTATCTTACTATTAAAGTTTTTAGCAATCCTTTTTTTAAACCTTGCTCATAGCAAGAAACAATTAATACTTTGCAGCTAAAAGTCATTTAATTGAATAAAATTTTACAAGAAAAGAGAGGAAAGAGTTGGAAACATCTGGTAGCAGGTGTACCAATGAAATGAAAAAGTTGCATCTGGTGGATGCAAAAAAAATTAAACACCTGCAAGTACGCCCACTGCTCACCACTGCGCTTCTACTGTCTGATTTCTTTTTTTCGCTTTTTATTTTTTGTTTTTTTTTTTTTTGTTTAAATTTTATGTTTCCTCTCTTTATTTGCGTGAAATAAATGCTCGTGTTGAGTTGTTTTGCTATTTATTATATTATATAATAACATATTATTTGCTCCATTATTATATTATTGTATTCCATGTACAGTACATGACTATTTATTGCAAATCTTCGAAAATGAACGTAAACTATTTTAAAAGATTGTAAATATTTACACCTAATTTGTGTAACTTGTAAAAACTTGTATAGATTACGAATTATAATTAAAAATTTAAACTTAACCGCAACGTTTACAACAGGATGGAAAGCCGATGGGTCCGCCCTTTTTATTACATACAAAAAATTCTATATTGAATCGATGGGGGAGTTTTGCCCCCGAAATTCAAGAGGGGGGGTTACGCCCCTAAACGTTACAACCTGTAAATGTCTACGGACGATAATAGGTGAAAGGTAAAACACAAATTTCATAAAATGTCAGTGACTATCTAATGAAACCATTCCTCTGAACTGTGTAGCGATGTTACGCAATGGCCTCATTATCGAGTGCGTGTGTCCTTTTGTGCTCGATGTTAATAATAATAATAATAATAATAACTATTATTATTATTATTATAGTTATTATTAATAATAATAAAATATAATAATAACTATTATTATTATTATAGTTATTATTATCATTATTATTTTAATTATATTGGTAGTAATATCAGTGTTAGCGATTGTTTATAAATTGTTAAAAAAATAATGATTTTTTTAAATATGCACACACATACACACATACACACATCAATATAAATACACAAACATATACACACAAACATATACACACAAACATATACATACAAACATACATACACGCACGTACAAACACCCACATACACACAGACACGCACATACGGATAAGAAGGAAGCGTATAATGTAATGTAAAGACGAAATTAAAAATCTCATCTTAAGCTCAATCCTCTATGGACATATTCTAGAATACATACAAACTGTTGCTAAATATTGTATGGTGTGTATGTGTCCTGTATGCATATATGTGTGTGTGTGTGTGCGTCGTGTATGTGTGATGAGCTATGCGTGCGTGTGTACGTGTGTGCGTGTATGGGTGTGTTGTGCATGTATGTGATCAGAATGTTTGTGTACATGTATGTATTTTTTGGAACATTTTTTGAGCAATAAATGTTTGTGTATGTGTGTATATGTGATCTGAATGTATGTATGTATGTATAAGTGTGGGTTTTTGCATGTGTGTACGTGTTTGTTTGTGAAAATGTACTTGTGTGTATGTGTCAAGTGTTTTTGTTTGTGTGTTTGTTTGTTTGTTTGTGTGCTGTGTATGTGTGATGCGTTGTGTTTGCGGCGTGTATGCAATTTTGTATTGTACGTGATGATATGTTCTTTAATGTTTGATTCTTTTTAAGTGTTGTACTGTCCGCTGAGGTGTCTTATTCATTCCTTGCTTCCTTATTTCATTCATCCATTCGTTCTTTCGTTCGTTGGTTCGTTGGTTCATTCGTTCATTGGTTCGTTCGTTCTTTCGTTCGTTCATTCATTCATTCATTCATTCATTCATTCATTCATTCATTCATTCATTCATTCATTCATTCATTCATTCATTCATTCATTCATTCATTCATTCATTCATTCATTCATTCATTCATTCATTCATTCATTCATTCATTCATTCATTCATTCATTCATTCATTCATTCATTCATTCATTCATTCATTCATTCATTCATTCATTCATTCATTCATTCATTCATTCATTCATTCATTCATTCATTCATTCATTCATTCATTCATTCATTCATTCATTCATTCATTCATTCATTCATTCATTCATTCATTCATTCATTCATTCATTCGTCCTTTCAATCGTTTTTTCATTCATTCATTTATTCGCCCATTATTTCATTCGTTACTTCACTTTAATGTTCTATAAGTGCGTTTCAATTCTTTTCATCTTCCAATCATTCCATTCCTCTTGATTAATTATTTAATTGTTGTGTTGGAAGGTGACGACTTTGACGACTGTGCTGATGATGATCCTGTTGATGATGATGATGATGACGTTGCTCATTCCTTCATTCATTCATTCATTCATTTGTTCTTTTATTCATCCACCCATTCATGCCAATATTTATTTAATTATTCAATAAATTTTTAATCCGTCACATGTGTATGTAAGTTTAATTAAAACGACGACGCTGTGCACACACACACATAAACACAAGCACAGACACACAAAAACACACGCATACACACACACACACACACATAAACACGTACACCCACAAATGCATACGTACATACCAACATACAGATACATCAAAGTCTTATAATTTCAATCTATTTGTTGTCGATTATACAAGGGTTGTTGTATGAACGTGTTGTAATGATGATGTTACTACTGCTGCTACTACTACTGCTACTACTACTACTGCTACTATTACTACTACTACTGCTACTACTACTACTTCGTCGTCGTCGTCGTCGTCATCATTATCATCATCTAAAATGATGCCTTTCTGAGATTGTATGATTTATTAAGCTTGCAATATTAATCCATGAGAATGCAAACAGACTTTGTTGACATCATCATCGTCGTCGTCGTCATCATCTTTTTTTCTTCATAGTCATGTACATCCCTTAAGCCTTCAACTATCTATGTGACGTAACATTTCAAGATGGCCGATCGTAACTTCCGCTTGTGGACGAATTACTTTTTCCGTTTCCGCTGAGCTGTGAGAAGATCTGCGTGTCAAAACATTCAGTGACTCTGTATTGTATTGTTTTGTATTGTTTTGTATTGTATTGTATCGTATTGTATTGTATTGATTGTATTGTATTGTTTTGTATTGTATTGTATTGTATTGTATTGAATTGAAATGAAATGAATTGTATTGTATTATATTGTATTGTATTGTATCGTATCGTATTGTATTGTATTGTATTGTATTATATTGTATTGAATTGTATTGTATTGTATTGTATTGAATTGTATTGTATTGTATTGTTTTGTTTTGTATTGAATTGAAATGAATTGTATTACACTGTTTGTATTTTAAGAAACCGTGTATGTGGAATGCAATGGATGTAATACTTCTGGCAGGCCGGTTGAGATTTACTCCAGACTTTATAACTTTTGTTTATGCTCTCCGTCGTGTTACCATACACAAACATACAAACACACACGCACACATACGCAAGCACATAAACACGCACATAAACACGCACACACACACGCACGCACACACACACACATGATGTGGTACGTTGTTTGCAAGCACTTGTCCATCTATGTTGACTCTCTACTCAAATTTATTCATAAATCTATTTCTTTCTCATACCAACAAGCCCCATACTTATACATACAAACCTACATACAAACATACATACAAACAAACATACATACAAACATACAAACATATATACTTATACATACAAACATACATACATAGATACATACAAACAAGCAAACATACATACATAATTATAAATACAAATTCTATACATACATACAAACAAACAAACATACATACATACATATATACATACAAACATACATACATGCATACATACATACATTTATACAAACAAACAAGCATACATACACACACACACATGCATATCAATACAAACATACTCGTCCAACTCAAGTTTATATTAGCATCTCTTTCTTGCTCTTTTAATAACTATTAGTTTGTATGTGTGTGTGTGCGTGTGTGCGTGTGTGTACGTCTTTGTTATCATCATCATCATCATCATTGTTATCACCATCATCATCATCAACATTACACTTGTAATTTTATTCAGAGATCGAAGGAAGTATGTATAATATGTCAATGAATGGATGAATGAATGAGTGAGTGAGTGGATGAGCGAGTGAGTGAGTAAGTTGATAAATGCATAAATGAGTAAATAAATGAATGAATGAATGAATGAACGAATGAACGAACGAACACGCGAACGAACGAACGAATGAATGCTAGAATTTATGAAAACTTACGGAGTGAACAAGTCTAGTAAAAAAAATTGAACAGAAATGCAGTAGTAAAAATAAAATAAAAACACCAGCAGAGAGAGGGGAGAAGAAAAAAGAGAGAGAGAGAGAAAGAAAGAGAGAGAGAGAGAGAGAGAGAGAGAGAGAGAGAGATTGAAGATAGGTGGCGAGAGGGAGAGCATAAGTTTCGATAATGAAAATGTCAATTTGTACAAGATGAGCACAACCCACTGCGATCAACATCTTGTCTGTGTATGTCCGTGTATGTCTGTGTGCGTGTGTGTGTGTATGTCTGTGTGCGTGTATGTGCGTGTGTGTGTGTGTGCATCTCTGCTTGAGTATTTGTTCATTGTAATTTTTTGTTTGTGAATAGTTATGTATTTATGTGGGTGTGTGTTAATATGTATGAAGGTATTCTGTTCATATTAGTGTTACCTTGTGTGAGTGTTTATGTAAAATTGCGTTTAAATGTGTGTGCATGTGTGTGTGTGCGTGTGTATGTGTGTGTGTGCGTGTGTATGTGTGTGCGTGTGCGTGCGTGATTCGTATGCAGGGGAGGCATGCGTTTCTTAAATGTTTTTGAGCTTCAATAAAGTGTTAGACGGATGAATGAACGAGAGAAGGAGCGAGAAAAAGAAAGAATGCAGGATTGAATGAATCAGCGACAAATGAATGAATGAAGTTAGGAAGCAATTTGCAAGAAGGAGGCAAGTGATCTTGAGGGATGTATTAGGAGGGGGACCGTTGTCTGTTTGTGTGTGTGTGTACGTGTATGTGTACGTGTGTGCGTGTGCGTGTAGGCATGTGTACGTTGTACGTGTGTGTGCATGTTTGCGTGTGTGAGTGTTTGTCTGTGTTTAGTTTTATTTGTGTGTTATGCACATTCACAAACACATTCACAAACACACACACACATATACATACATGCATTTCTTTTCATTGATATCATTTCTTTGATTTCTTTGTTTTGATTTGATGAAATAAAAAAATAAAATAAATAAATAAATTTATACATATTGTAATATGTTTATATATGTTTGTTAGCTTTATATATATATATATATATATATATATACACACACACACACAGCTATTACGTAATACTTTTTTAATAATATTAGGTGTGTATGTGAAGAGCAATAATTTGTATTGTATATGAGTGTGGTGTCGTGTGGTGTGGTGTCGTGTGGTAGATAGGTGGGTGTTAAACGATTTGTTTGTGTGGTGTGCAATTGCTCAAAGTGTAATTGTTCTAAACGTGTATTGTATTATATATATATACAATGTATAGTGTGTGTGCGTGTATGTTGAGTGTATTGTGTGTGTGTGAGTGTACACATGTGTAAAGTGTATGTGTGTGTGTGGAGTGTATGTATATTGAGAGTAGCGTTGATTGTGGGATCAGGATAGCAGCGCGAAACTCCATCAATTATAATATGTATGGAAATCACAACACTATCTGATCAACAGACGGCTTGTTCGCTGACTGGCTGCCTGGCTGACTGGTTGTATGTTTGTTTGTGTGTGTGTGTGTGTTTATATGTGTATGTACATGTTTATATGTGTGTTTTTTTTGTGTATGTTTGTTTGTATGTGTGTGTGTGTTAGTTTGTGTGTGTGTGTCTGTATGTTTTCTAGTTATAATTAAACGAGTGTATATATGCGTTCTAATTTGAATGTATGTTATGTAGCTAGTTCAATGATGACGACGATGATGATGTGATTAAGAAAGATGATGAGGATGAAGAAGAAGAAGAAGATGATGATGATGAAATGGCTGTGATGATGATGATGGTGGTTCGCGTTAGATTCAAAAAAAATGTCGCTACAAGCAAATGGCTGGATGAAAGAAGTTTAAAGAAAATTCTGAATGTTTATAAATTGTATGTGTGTTTGTATGTATGTATGTATGTGTGTATGTATGTACGTATGTATGTATGCATGTACGTATGGAAAAATAGAAAGACAGACCGACATAAAAATATGCAGACGTACAAGAAGAGCGACAACATAATTTTAATTTTGGTTCGCATGATGAAGTGACGTGTTGATGAATAAAAAAGCAATGACGTCATTCATGGTCAATATAGCAGGTAATTGTTGTGATTGGCTGGCTGGAATGTAGGTCAAATAGGTCATGACATGACCCCATTCATCCTCTTTAACACTTAATCGACCGTGTAAATGTACCATCAGCACTTTAACGACTCGCGTCTTAAGCGTCTAACAACAACAACAACAACAACATCAGCCGCATGTATGTTTGTGTGTATGTTTGTATGTACCTGCGTATATGTGCGTGTGTGTTTATGTATGTGTGTGTATGTATATGTGTATGGATGTTTGTTTGTTTGTTTCTATATAAGTTTTTGTATGTGTGTATCGATTAGTTGATATGTTTCTTAATCTGTTTTATCATATTTGTGAGCGTGTGTGCGTGCATTCGTGTGTGTGTGTGTATGTGCGTGTGTGGTTTTGCGGAATGTGTGTGAGCGCGTGTGCTTTATTATTAGATTTATCAAAGGAAGTTACATTGTATTAAAATGTCTTTAGGCAACATTAAAGATAAAGTAATGTTCACTTGTGTACGTTGTTGTATTTCATACATACATACATACGTACATACATACATACAAACATACAAACATACATACATGCATACAAACATGCATACATACATACAAACTTAAGTGTGATCGTATAAATGAATGGACATGAGTTCAAAAAGCTGTATAATTTATCTCTCAATATAACTCGAGGTCACCATTCATTTGTTCGTTCATTCATTTTTATTACATTGTTTGTCACTCATTCATTCATTCATTCATTCATCCAATCATTCATTTTTCATTCGTTTCTTCTTTTATTCTTTCACTTTTTTAATTTTTGTATGCGTTATTCTTCGGTTTATTCGTTTATTATTTCTAAAGGAGATTGTTCATTTAATCATATATA